CGCCACGCTGACTTCCACTGAGAACTGGTGGGAAGAGCCGTAGAGTTTCGTTACTGAAAACCAGTGTCAGATGTCAGTGTATCGGTAAAAAAAGATTCGAGTACGTGCATTACGGCATTGAGGTAACTCATATGAGGGTGATGAACTGTAGAAAGTATATCTTCGCCAGGAGGGAAAAAATTGTCGACTTCGGCTTGGAGCCGGTAGTACGTTTGAGGATTTCTCAGAAGTGATAGGAACAGAGAGCTTAAGGTGGTTGCTGTGGTATCAGACCCGGCTACTATAGCAAGGACTCCATCAGATGCCACTTCCGCAAAGGTTGGAGGCGACGTATGACGCTCAAGACCCGCCTCGTCAATCTAAGGACTGTTAACAAAACTAAAAACAACAAAAATGATTGAAAAAATTACCAGATAGTGAAAGAGGTCTTTAGACAGAGAACCTGCGGAACGCCTGAGCATAGCGCGCGCTTGACAGAACGTTCGGAATTTCTTGAGGCCCTCCCCGATCCCTGGCAAGTTGGCATAGTACTTTCCGAGCCAAGGCACGTGGGACAGAACCAAGGCAGTTCTATAATAGAGCATATTTTAGTCTTTATGGTATTATTGTCCTTTGCTGTACTCACGGAAGACCATTTTCGAGCAGATGCCAAGTGTTGTCCTTATCACCGTCACGCAACATCTCGGAACCTCCGCCAAATCTTGGGAAATCGTTAAGCTGGATGAGAAATATTCAAATAACATGTGCACTCACGCCATGTCACTCATGAAGTCAAACCTGTCTCGTCTAAGTTAGGCACGAAAAAGTAGAGAAGTGGAGAGGCGCACGTGAAATGACTTATGAGCTCAGCGAGGTTGAAGGGTTGTGTTTGTTGCTCGAGGACTGTTACGAATTGTTGAACTCGCTTCCCAAGGATCTCGTCGTAACCTTTCAGTGCAGCAACACTGAAAGCCCTGTGCCAGGGTTTTCTCCGCCGCGCATGCTCCACGGGATCCCTCACCGAGATAACTGTTCTAGTGGCTGATTGCTCAGCCATGCGTCCGTCCCAGTCTGTGGATATCTAAATTAGGGCCGGGCGCCACATATCAGAGCATATTAAATCACTGACGAGGTCCTTTTGGGAACCCATTGCTACCCATCAATGGGACAACAGCATTGACATCTCGTATCGATAGCTCATTAGGTCCTAGATTAAGAGAAAGGGTGGTCAGATCCAATAATAAGCATTAAGTCAAGAGGTTATCTACCGATTCTGACGACGTCGCCATACGTTTGGTGCAGTTTTGAGTAGTAGATGTGTTGTTTTCCATCACGAGAGACCCATACCATCCAGAACTTGGAGATGCGGCAAGGGATAGGACCAGGGTATCTCGCAAGTGGATGCCAGGGGGATAGACGGTATACGACCACAGAGACAAGAACAGTAGAGTAATACAAAAGGTAAACAAACCCAAATGCGCGCGTAAATGTTGATGAGTTGGGCAAAAACAAGGTCGAAAGGATGGCCGGAACTACAATGAGCAAGCCTAGGTGGGAGAGCGGACTAGTGGGCTCGTGACGTTTGAATACAAAATGACAAAGCTACCAACAATCAGGGTCAGAACGCGATATGATAATACACGGCATATATTGGCCACTCACAAGGCCGGCGGCCACCACCACAAGAAAGCCACCTTGCAGGGACAGCGGAGACATGTTTTCATCGATGGAGAATGTGGGCATTGGGACACATATTGCAAGCCGATACGAAACCTTGTATTTAAGAGGCTGGCGAAATTTCGGACATCGGAATCAAAAGAAGAATTCGACATAATCTAGTAGCACATATTGGCCAAGGGCTAGATGAAGATTTTGACTCGCAGAGACCAACATCTAAACAGAGATGGCGGCATGTCGGATGGAAATAGATAACAATCAGCCGGAAAGTTGATATGGGACAGATTTGGCCCCACAAGGAGCGGGTGGGAGTTGGTTACTTAGAGGAACGGAACAATCAAATGAATATGGAGTAAGCTAGCCTGTACGACAAGTGCAAATGGAACGTACGGGGCAAAACTCGGTTAGTCCAACAATATTAGGCAAGCAAAGCCGCGGTGACGGAAAGCGACAAGTGCCGAGAAGGATGTGCACTCACCTGAGTGATGTCCGTGGACTTAAGTTAATGTGCAGGGTTTCCAGGTCCTCGCGTGCCTGTGCCACTTTCCTGCTAGGTCGTCACTTCCGGGGGATCGGCATGACCTCTGTACTCTTTCTGGTCTGAAATGATCATCTCTGCTGCTCAACAAGCGGAAACCAGGGTCGCAGTCTCCTACCTGTGGTGGCTCATTCACAAACAACACATTTCTACTTAGTAATACCTTTTTAGGTCTGGTACGGAATATGCCGCAACTCGGCAATTTTATGTACAAATGATGAGTTTATCTTACAAGAGGCGGGGATGAAAGAGACGGATGTGTGGGTCGTTTGAACTTTGAACTAATGGGCGTTGTTATTTCAAGTCCAACCCGAAATAATATAATCTAACTTGGGCGGCCAGGGTCCGGACCTAGATACGGTCGAGATCTCAAGAGCCCATCGAGGAATAGGCCGCCGAGCAACCAACCAGTCCAAGATCCAAGAAATCAACTGACTGGTGGCTGTCTTCTGCTATTAATCATCGCAGTCACTGGCGAGCAGTGACGTCATTCCTTCTGAATAGAACAGTTGGATTGGGGGTGACACCCAGATCATGACGTGTAATAGTGCCAGTATTGCGGATAACAATCTGAGATATACTTTGCATGCAAGCATTTTCATTGCCGAAGACTGCTTTATCAACCGAACAGCACAAAATCGTGAGCGCTTATGCAACATAAGAGGCTAGTGGTAGAACTGCAGTTGCGTGGGTTGGAATGGAAACATTTGCCTCGGTTCCGACCTACTACGATATCCCTCGATATTCGGAAGCCTCAGACATACTGGATGCTGGGGGGGGGGGGCTTGGAATGACCCTGCCTGACCATGTATGGATTCGATCAGATACCGATACCATTTCGGCTTATTAACGAGACGCAGTCAGAATGGGAAGCCTGACATGAAAAAAAAAACACGCGCCACCCCAGATAGCCCAAATTGACTGGCCACGGTTCTGTGCCCTGATTCCCCTGGATCAACACAAGCTCCGGAGTGCCACTATTACAAAATAGAATCCCATAACCGCGCCAGAAACGCACGAACACGACGACCAAGATTAAGAGCAGACGCTCGATGGAACTTGGTAAGCCCTTCCATACAGAAGAAACTCCTACTAACCAAAATCGATGGGAAGATGACTTCCTCGAGTACCCTGACAGATCACCATGCGAAATGCGGCGATAGGCACATTATAGCATCAGCGTAATCGTGATTGCTGGTCGAGGTCCATCTGGTTAGTGATAGGTCAGAAAAATGAATTACACGAAGCGCAAACTAGCGGCGATGAACGGTTAATGAAAGGCCATGAAGGATGATCGCTCCATATCACATCATTCCATTGGAATAGGGTTCAAATTTTATCTCATCTCCTAGATTGTTGCAACGTCGTCACTTCAACATCCATGTGATGCTGATCCTGTGGTGCACCCTGAATGGATTGTGGGCTTATCTCTTGGTTAGATTGACAGAGGAATAACGCCGCACAGAGCGCAGAGAAGAGCCTAGAGGTTTTGAGGCGCAGTATTGTTTTTAGCAAAAGGTGACCAAGGAATTTCCAACGGCGTCGGGATGAATGTACCACAAAGCTCTCCGAGGAGCCAGTCGTGATACGCGGACAATTCTCGTAACTTAGGCTCCATCATGACAATTGAATGTATCCTTTAGAGGAGAGTGTCAGGCATTATGGAGACTAGCCGCATTTCCATTTTCAAGGGGGTAAATGCGGTCGCAACAACATAATGGGGCGAACCCAATGTGACGCCGGAAAAAAGTTTCATGTCGCGATGAGGAAGTGAGTCTGAACGTTCGGGGCCGCGGAGTACCCTAGAAAAGCTGCACTGGATGTTGATATGATCTAGTAAGCATTCAACGATCAAACATTTGTAAGTGGACGCACTGTATGTCAAACCCTAAATATACGTCTTTGATGGAGGCTACGAGCTGTGTGACCGGATTCGCTTGCATGCGTGTCGAGCATGGGTCAACGAATCTTATGAGGAATCACAGGGCGACATTGTGAAACGAGTTACATGTTGCTGATATGGTCTGACCAAGGGGACATGAACCCCAGCGGATATAAAGAAGCGAGGATCGTTGCCTGTTAGGGAAAGGTCAGGGTATGGTGAGCTAGTCAGGTTCAAATCGGGCATGACCTGAATGGAAAAAGATCTCTGCTCCCCCGACGGCATCATGATGCGTTTCTCAAGCAAGAAAACAAGTCCGTTAAAAGGCGTAACCACCTGTCTTGACCTGGGAATGGTGCAGAGTTAAGCCGCTCGATCTGACCGCCAAATACCCAGGGAAAATGAGCGATGTCTTCGGATGTGTTGCCCACTATTTTAGTGGCCGATCCAGAAGCCAGTTCAGGGCGTTCGCCCACCGCGTGGCTGAGTCCGAGTTAGCGCTATTGACAGCATCAGTTCTATATTGTTTCTATTAATTGAGTATACGACTTTACATGATGTTGCGCCAACTCTGTTCCACGCCAACCTGCGTTGATGATGCGGAGACCGCCGCGGGCCGCACCCTGGAAGATGAGGAACAGACGAGATCTTTAAGGGAAGATTGACAATGGCTAAAGGTTCAGTCAGTCGATTCACCACGACTGGACAGCTGCAAGCACTGGTCGTACCTTTGCGTCACTGTCAGCGCTAGCGGATGTCTTCCGTTCATGCAAGCGACCTGTGAAACACCAAGAGGCTGATGGCATGTCGCGGAAGCAAATGTCCAATTGAACTGCGGCTTTTACGTCACGAGTCCCCGACTCGGAAGCTCGTTTAACGTACGTTATTGAGGCCACGTCTTCACGACCACCAACTAAGTCCCCAATGTCCAATATTCTCCGCGTCTTTTCGAAAAATGCGCGCTCATTGACACAGCCGTCTAACACCCGTATCGTTGCACTAGAGCGTTCATTTCACTCGCCCTTTGTAGTGCTCAACTCTCCGGCTTCGAACTCACCGCCAGTGTCGGCGTCACAGTACGAAAAACAACATGACCACTCTCCTGAACCCCAAATATCATCAGCTGGCACGCGCACTTATGTGGTATCAGAGCCTGATCCTGCCGATGCCCCTTACGCGGTGCCATCAGGCGCATATCCCACTACAACGCCTTACGTCGACTTCAAACCCACAGACGCCCCCAAGTCTGAGGGTAAATACAATGCAGGCAGCGCGAGCATTCCCCATTCTTTTACAACTCGTGCTATTCCAAGAAGTAAAAACAGCGTTGATAATAATATGAGATATGGAGAGGCACCCAGTGAGATGGGTCGCAGAGGAGAAGGCCAGGCTTGATGGATGGGCGCCGCAGAACTTCGCGACAGAAACCTATCCCCTGATTCGGATGTAGTCCTGCGTTGGTCCAAACTAGGCGTAGAGGGCGCATGGAAAAAGCGGAAATAGATTGTGGGGTCTTGTGGAGGTGTGCGGAGGAATGTCGCCATTTTGTCAGTCAGGCGGTGACTGCGGTCGACTGACACGTATCCAACCGTGTTGATTGTGATAAGTTTGATCCTGTACAATAGTGCTATGATTCTGCTGCTTTGGTCGTATATTATTTATTTCTCTTGCGCTGACATCGGGCTACGGAATATGAATAGCTACCTTGAAGATAATCAAAGTCTGCTGTCATATTTGAGTCAGATGTCGAACGTGATATCATATCATTCCTAGCTAGAACCTTGAGAAGGGCTACTTGATCATAGCCCGGATTGATAGGCCCAGTCCAGACGTAATGTCCTCAACGATATGAAACACATATTAAGCTTGATCCGCGCAAATCGAAAGCAGTCAATATTTATTATTGCCCTCGACTTGGCCTGGTAACAGAAAGTCGCCCCATGGCTAAGTAGTGGGGCTAATGAATATCCTAAAGGGTCTGTAGATAATACACATGGAAGCAATAAACAAGAGAATATTGAGCGCCACCCAAGACCAGCCACAGGATCAGGCGGAAACTTGATGAAGACTGTGACGGAATGGTTCGAAACGATCGTGAGGGGTATGATGACGGTATGACATGGTCGACCTGCGGAGAAAGGAAAGCAATACGGAATCCCGAGGAGAAGCTAGCAAGATAGATAAGTATGTACGATAGCCATGATTGATAGATCGTGCGCGTTGTCGTCAGAGTTTCTAATACCTATAAGTGGCGAATTAGCCGGATATCAGCCGAGACTGTCCGAATAACTTACCAATGAAGCCGAAGTACCACGGATAGCGACCAGCGCTACACCATCCAGTGGTGTTGATTATGCCCGGCAGCAAAACAGGCCGGAGAAGAAGCCCTTCCGCTTAGGATGTCTGTCATCATCCACATCATCAACACCATGCCTTTGAGTCTCAAACGCAGTCATTCCACGCATCTGTCCAGCATCACGGGTCAGCGTCCCTGCGGTTGTGTCCTCTCGCGAGTTGGTCGGGTTTTTGGCAGCGTGGACCTGCGCGCCGTAGAGGAACGAATCTGAAGCGTCGTTGCGCCCAACGGGATTATTGCCATTGGTCACATTCGCAGCATGTGTAACTGGAGAATGCCTGCCGTAACCGTTACTGGCCCGGTAACCCGAGGATGTAGGCGCTGTGGCGTAAGGGTGAGGTGCGAGTGCTGAACTCTCTCGGGGTGTCTGGCTCGCGCGCCTGCTAACGGGAGCAATGGGCTGTACACTGATATCAGCACGAGTACCAGGGTCTCGACTACCGTGTCCTTCTCGTGTGCCTGGACGTCTAGTGCTGTTCTTGATGTGAGCGGGAGTAGGTGCGAGGACGAGAGGAGTAGAGGGCGCTGAACCATCTGTAAGCTGTGGCCCGCGGGCGACGACTGGTCTCACGGTGACGAGGAGTATGAGGTACGTTAACAGTGGCGTGAGCCTGTGCTAGTAGTGACGCGGGTGTCTGGAAACATTCAGTTACGATATGCTTCCATGATGGAAATACATTGCGTACATTGCTGGCCTCCCAACCTTTGCCGTTATTGATCAACATCCAGTCAAAGATGCCGTCATCCTGCTCGCCAATATTCTTCAACACTTTGGTAAAGAGTTCTCGGAGAAAATCGTAATCGGGAGTTTCCTCAAACCCGAGTTTGCGGACGTAGTTCATGTAGATCGCGAACTCCTCTGAATCAGTAGAGACCGATCAGTAAATCATGTTGTCACTCCAGCACATCGACAAGCGAAGAAAATAGACGCCACTGAATGAACTAAAAGAGAACTCACCGGGGAAACCCTCGCACAACTCCGCAATCGGTGTAGTCTGCTTCTTTTCACCGATCTTCTCATACTTCTGCTTATTGGTTGCGGCCCTAAGGCCTTGCCAGGGAAGGCCGCCGCGCAAGAAATACATGAATACATGACCTAGCGATTCTAAGTCATCCCGGCGCGATTGCTCACGGCCAAGATGCGTGTTGATCGACATGTACCGGGCAGTGCCTGAGAGAGACTTGCGCTCACGATAAGGAATGTGAACTTTTGTCTTGGGATCTCGGTAGTGCTTCGCCATGCCAAAATCTGCAAGGGATAGTCAGTATGTTTGTTGAGAGACAATCAATGGATGAGATCTGTGCAAATTCAGGGATACATCGGTGCGATCGGGGGAGGACGGGAAAGAGGAACATGGACAACTTGCAAAAGACATACCAATAATGTGGATGGTGTTGGATGTTTTTGTTCCAGGGACCCCGACGAGAAAATTGTCAGGTTTGATATCACGGTAAATGAGCGACTTGTCATGGACGGACTGAATGCGAGATATCTAAAAAAAAGAAGACATGAACAACTGTAACGGAACGACGGAATGAATTGAGAGAGAAAATAACCAAACAACATAACAATTCCTGCTCGTTGTATGGGTCCAAACTTACCATCTGTTTCGCGGACATGCATACAGTCTTGATGGTGAACTTCCGGCCACACATGTCGAAGAGGTCCTCTAAGTTAGGGCCCAGAAGGTCAATTACTAGGACATTATGGAGTCCCTCCTGCCCAAAGTGGTGTACTTGCGGAACACCCACTAATAATAATGACATATTACCATCGGGTGAGAGAAATTACTGACACTAACACATACCTGTACCATTCAGTGTTCTGTATGATCGAAATTCATCCCGTAACTGAGGAGCATCGGACTTTCGAGGTTCCTGAGTAATACGTCAAAATCGAGTCACGATTAGAAGGAACCTCATGGCAAACGTACAAATTTGATGGCGACAGGTTGGCTTGTAAGAAGCTTTGTGCCTGTGAAGAGTTGTGGTGAGTCAAAGGAACAAATAGCAAAGAACACCGGTAACAAAAATTGGCTCAAAGCCGCAGGTAAATAATTTCCGTTCTGACGGGATACGCGGAGCTCAGTTGATCTAGTCCCATTGCTACTAAGTAACCATGACACGATGATCGCCCACCGGCGACCCATGGACCGAAATGCACCCTTCTGCATGACATTGGGTGGTCGTAAGACGGGCGCTTATAAGGTCGAATGACTCTGTTGGTATCGTCCATGCAACTCTCAAGCCCAAAAAGTTCTGGAAAAGCAGGAACTTGGGTGTACGATACTCACCTTCGAATACAACACCGAATGAACCTTCGCCAATCTTCTTGCCGACACGAAAGTGGTTTCCGACGATACCATTTGAAGTGGCACTTTGAGAGTGGTGCCCCGAAGACGAGGCTATAACGTGAGGGGTCGTCATCTGGATGAAAAGTTAATAATTTTGAAGGCCACCAGTCCAGAAGCGCAGCTGTGGGAAGGTAGAGGACGGGACTGGTGTACTTGTGACAAGGAGCGGATGGAGAGAAAGCACACCAACTAGGCGGACTTTGAATTTCCTTATTTGTACTCGGCCGACACGTTCCTCTCTTACAGCGCCGGTGCGCCCGCTTGCACTCTTAGATCATCCTCAACACGTTGCCTTACTACTTATACGACGCTAGCTCCAAGCTCAATCTGAACTTACAAGTTGCTAGTACTCTTTCAAATTTGCACTGTGTGCCGAGAAGCAGCTTCCTTGGTCATTGCGTTCTTGACTAATAATAAGCGAGCGCTAGCTCCATATCAAACTCATCATACAGATTGTTGGTCAGGTCTCGTGCAATCTTGCATATTGTTTTTTTTTCTATCAGTGCTTAGCATGCGCACTCATCGCAGTGATTATTATTGCAAGGGCTATGCGCTAATTTCGGCAGCCGGTTCATGACAGCATTTTCCATGCTTGCAATGAATATCCAGTGCATTGTGCACAGCGATATCGATGATGTTTCAACCGTCGATGCCAAGAATCCGTGGGTCATGGAACACGATAAAACTTGTCCTGCCGTTTACCTTCACTTTGGGTATGCGGACCCTGCACGGCCTACCATTGGCTTGCCATTTCCGCAATGCGGAGAGCCTCGTGAGCACTGAATTCCGTCAGCTTCTAGACTTGAACTACATATATGTACCATGTGCATATCAGCGTTTCAGATGCTCCATGTATCGTAGTGTGTCGTCAGCTTCGCAGATCGAGCTCCACCTCTTCGAACCACGTGTCGGCGCCGTGTCCACTTTTTGAAAATTCTCCCGCGAAGCATTCAGGATCCCTTGTACATACTCGTTCTTTAATCTACCCGGTCTATCCTCCCGGTTTCCCTCGATCAAGATACCTGATCATTCCTGGCAACTACCCCGTTCTATCTGACAGACTTGTCGTTTGAAATGGTTTTTTAGTACATGCCAACGACGGTGAACTCCGAGGGAATGTCAAAGTCGGTAGTGCAGATATCTCAGGGCCTTGCCGTCGGTACATGGACGTTTTGCGGCATAGGCCTGGACCATATCTAGTGACTTCTAGATCTTATCCTTGAAAGCCTGATATGGCACAACAAACGTGATGACTGCCTTACGTGCCGATTTTCCAGAATCACGTAGACTTGCACACAATTGTCCTTTTAAGCGCAATCAAGGGTATTCATTTTCGCGGACACGTCACATATCTTATGGCATGTGCGAAGTGCGAAGTCCGAGCTGGCCATATTTTAGGAGAATGTAGTACATATCTTATGTGCTACCGCGCATCCATGTTTTCCATGGTTGTGAAAATGGGATGCAAATAGCCCTATCGTCAACTGTGCAGAGGTGCCGAGTAATGGATATATCCATGTGCCAAGCTAGCGTCATTCTCCGAGGACAACCGCTTCAGATTTTCTCGATAGGGCGCTATGGAGGCGAAGATCATATCAAACTATGTTATAGTCTGATCGAAGACTCGGATACTTACATTTAATCATATATCTCTAACCATAATCAGGAGCGAGTTCACGACCAAGCACTGATAGAAGATGAGCTATATCTACGGGCCATCAAATACCATCATCTGATGTGCCACAGCAACGAGTGGCCACACGCCGTCAGCCCTTGCATCTTCTTCATATACTTCCTTCTGGCGCAACAAAAAGCTATGTGTCACCGGTCGCTTTGAGGCATGCCCGTGATGGACACCCCCACAGATGGCGAACATTCCAATGGGGGAACCAAGCCACATGATGTCGTAGTCGATGTCTGCTGCTAATCCAGCCAACGGCAAGAGTTGTAAAGGAGGAAGGGAAAGGAGGGTTGCGGTAATGTCGAGCCGGGTATGCTTGATAGAGTCAGATGCTTAGGTACCAATGAACATGCGGGCTGATTGAAAGGTACGATAGATATCCGGGACGAAAAACTTACGAGGTAACGAGGGTTGCAAGTGGGGCAACCCAGGAGAGAAGCACTTGACTTCTCGATACGAGAAGCACGCGTTGCTAGAATATGCAGAAGCAAGACTGGCACGATCCGAATCGAACGTTTGGAAGTATCTTTGAAATCGGCCAGCGGCAATAACGATAAGATTAAGCTAATTCCGGTTGCAAATCCCAGGAACATAAGTTGGAAACACACCTTTCAAGATATTCCATCGTCATTTTCGACATTTTTTCCTCTTCATCGGGTACTATCATGATCGTCGGAAAGTCATTCAGAGGCCTGGATGGAGCGGGAACAGCCGCAGATGGAGGATCGGGCTTATGGGGTGCCTGAGATTTGGAGCCTCCCGCGGGAGAGGATGATACAGATGGCGATGCTACATTTCTCCGTGGCCGAGGTGGGATGGGGAGTTTTTGTGTGGGTGGGGACACTATAAGAACATCATCATCATCGACACCAGTGACCGGAAGTGATACGGCCGATTGAGAGGGGGCTTCTGGCGTGTGGTGAAGGGAAATGTACTGTTGAGCATTTGCCTGATGTGCAAGTGCGATCGTAGCAGCAAGATCAAGCTCTGCTGGTTGCAATGTGTCTGACCAAACTGGAATCGAACTCTTCCTATCACAGTATATTCAATACGAATTACTTCACACCATACGTACAACTTACCAGTCGACTATCACACCATCGTCTCTGCCAGGGATCAGAGTACAAGTCCATCCAATGCAATTCGACATACCTGATGAGCAACTTTTCCGTTTGAAGCTTCAGAGCCTCAATTTCACTTTGACACTTCTTGGCCCATATCCTTCGATTCCGCTTGTACCCAGAGAACGGAGGCAAACAGTCCAAGGGAAAGGGGGCAAAGCGTTTTGTCCCGAACATGACCAACTTCCGTTGTGGAGGCGGAGGCGTCAGACTTTGTTCGCGCTTCACCTTTGCACCATTGTGATGAACACCAGAAGCCCTGCCCGCTAACATAGATTCATTATCGTCATGACGGGGGCGCTTCAGTGTCCTGTGAGCTTCGGAAGTTGACATTTCCGATGATGCCCAGGATGGCGTGATATGTTCTTGAAGTTTATTGGACAAGCTCCTTGCCACTGATACTTTGGATGTGGACTAGGAAGACCGCAAGAGAAGCGATCAAGTACTCAGACTGCATCTGTGGACGCCACTGCTGACCTAATGCACTCTAGCGAGGCCGGCCAATATTGTGAGAAAACTATTTAGAGGACCCGGCTTGTTCCTAGAATCCTGACCGTAATAAGGGTTTTGTAGACAAATAATGAATTTACGCCATAAAGGTTGTAAATCCGGTGTACAGTGGGGAAATATTTCTGAGAATCAGTCATATATTGCACGTATATGACACAGAGTTCATTCAAATATCACATGCACTATATGTGGTGTAGCTTGGGGTGAGTTATGTTTAGAGATGGGATATCTTGTACATATCCCATCAATATGTTCATTACCTTTGCCCCTGGCTGCCAGTCACATCTGCAGAAGTTCGTCCACCATAGCATCGCAAAATGGATCTTTCGAGAGTGGTTTTTGACACAAGCATCGTTTGTCTGAGTCAAAGCTCATGTCATTGACATTCCGGTATATAACAAAGAGTTCAACATGTACAGTGTATCATAGGCCCAAACATACTAACATATGTAATGATAGATATGGACATGATGGCATACTCAAGCAAATCAGACAACAAACATTCTGCTATGATATCAGGCCAAGGGAACAAGGGGAAGGGGATACAAAATTCATTCCAGATATACCTCACTACATTGTCCTGGGCCAGAGCTTCCTCGTCAACGCTACTATCATTTGAACACTCTAACCACTGTTCGATGAACGATCCCTCCAGTGGAATACGAGGATCCCACATTGGCCACTTGCCCGTCGGGAAGGATGGATAGGTGCTGATGAATGCCAGCCAGAAAACATCATGTCCCCACATCCACAGTGATGATTCCATGTCAACTTTGGTAGTGAGCCATTCCTGAATTTGTTGGGAGACTGTCTGCCAATCGGCTCGATTGGTATAGTCAAATGAAGGTGGGAGCGGAAGGAATGATATATTGGTTTTGTTGTCACAGGACAAATCCAACTTTGATGCAATGTAAGTAGGCTGACATTTAGACAAATGACATGTACACTTACATCGTCTGAGTCCCCTGAACAGTGTAACAGTATGCTACCATGGCAGCGCAAGTCTGGTGATGCGACCTCTATGGTTGGTGTGGTGAATATTCCATACTCCTCATCAATAGATACTGATATGCGGATAGGCTAGTATCCACTTGTGAGAAAGCCTGGTGGAAAGTTGAAGATGGCATATTCATACCACATCGCTCCTTTCCAACAGTTGTCTTGGAAATGTCCCGGGAAAGCAGAGAGTGAGGCACATTGGTTGGAGTGAGGCATAATTTTCTTGATAATGAATCCCAGGATAAATTGTTGAAACTTGGGTGAGTGACAGCACTGAATTCATATTCTGAAGTTGACTGTGTCGGAGATTTTTTACCGGCATCATAATGGTCATGCGTTACAATCAGGCTCAAAATGATTTTGACCCTCATTACGACCTCATTACGACGCCTTAAGCGGAGTTTGAATATCATGCTGATGCAATTCTGATTCGGATTACTGATATGACTTATACCTAGGCGAGGCGACACATGCTGCATCAACGGTTCTGACTCTGTACGCCTCTTTTTTGATTCCGACACTGTACGCCTCTTTTCCAGTCTCATTTGTCTTCTTTATTCTCAACTGAACTGAGCCCTGGACCGTCTTGTCACTTTGATTTATAATCTTATTCTCTCGCATACCATCGATAACAACAACTTTTGTTCACTCCCATCGTCTATCCGAAGTCTACAGTCAGTCCAAACGTCTTCCCTATCCAAAACTCGTCGTTCTTCTGCTCAACAATTCTTCCAAGCATATCCAGTTTGTTTAAACGAAACATATCATCTCCTCAATCATTGTCTGTATTCCTGACGGGCTTTGACGCTTGGTCCTCGGTATGCACTCCGTTACTCGCAGCTTTACGCTCTCACTCTAATATTATATGATCACTATCAGCTTGCTCGTTGCTCATTTGCTACTTGACATCAATGCCTAAGTCAAAACAATGAGCATCAGACCTTGTGACGTGTGATCGATGTGGAGTGAATGTGCGTGCGCGTGGGTTAGGATCCCATTCGAGGTCTTGCGCGAAGAAGGAACGGGAACGGCAGGAAGATGAGGAGTTTGTTAGCATAGTTCAGAAAGCCGAAAAGAAAGGTGAGCACTCGAATCAGTTGTCTTTCAATGATGTACTCGATAGATGGTTGATAATTTTTTTTACAGAACTTCGAAGGCAGCGTCGCAAAATTCGTAATAATTTACAATGTTTGGAGGATGCGCAATCATCTGCAGGTGAGCACTCATATTTTAACAATAGTACTATGGTTTAGAATTTTCTTCTCGCAACACAGTGAATGCCACCGCGATATGGGCCGCAGACTCAGACATTGGTACGTTTGATTCAATTTGATTAGTGTTATACTGAGACTAACAGTATCAGTTATGCGAGGGTCTTCACCTCGCCAATACCCTCCGGCGGACCCATTACCTGACTTCCACCAAACCGATCCTGGTCCCAATGAACCAGATCCTGGTCCCAACGAACCGGATCCTGGTCCCAATGAGCCCGATCCTGGTCCCAACGAGTCCAATCCTGATCTCAATCAGCCTGCACATGAGCTTGACAATATCAAAGTCGAGCATCATCCTCACAGCCAAATTCCTTCTACCGTGCATCGCTTCTCTGAGTTCTCTCGCAGCTGCCCAACAGAAGACTATGTACCTCGTAACGACTCGCCATGGGAGCCATTCCGCACACGGCTTGATTTCGAAGTAGCAGAGATTGCACTCGAAGCTGCGATGACAAAGGATCAAACCAATCGCCTTATCAATCTCATACATCGATCTGCTAGTGGCAATGACACGTTCACACTGCATAATCATGATGAAGTCTGCTCCCTCTGGGACCTTGCTTCGCAACATTATACTAGAGTAAGTGTTGTCTCGTGTAGCTACTACTAGTACATTACCATAAGCTGATCATTAGTGCATAGTTTCAGAACGATGCAGTGTCTGTTCCCCTCGGAAATGAAGTGCGCGAATTCGACATGCACTACCGCCCTCTCTGGGATTGGGTCCTTGACTTGTTGTGAGACAAACATCTCGCACCTCATTTTGTATTTGATGCTCAATGTCTCTCGAAATTCAACGGAGAAAGATTTGTACGTTTTATTGATGAACCATGGACTGCCGATGCGTTTTGGAAGGCACAAGTATGTTTCGACATTTGATCTATTGTTTGTTTCTTTAAATTAATAATATGCTACAAAACTGTTGTAATTGTAGTCGCAGCTTCCGCCCGATGCAAAACCACTGGCATTCATCCTCTATGCGGACAAGAGTAAACTATCGTCATTTGGGAGCCAAAAAGGCTATCCAATCATTGCGCGCATCGCTAACCTACCGGTTCATATTCGTAACAGTAATACTGCCCTAGGAGGTGGTCGTGTCGTTGGCTGGCTGCCCATTGTTAGTATACTGACAAGCTTGTTCAGTTCATAGTAATGCTGACTGCCATTATATTAATTCAGATTGTTGAGGATCAAGAACATGCGAAAAAGAAGAACTATGTAGACTTTAAAAATGCTGTCTGGCATACATCCTTCTACCAGCTTCTGGCCTCGGTTGCGAAGCACTCAAATACAGGCTATTGGTTTGAATGCGGAGACAGAATACGACGTCATCTCTGGCCCCTCATTTTAATCTTAAGTGCCGATTACGAAGAACAGTAAGTCATACTAGTACTACAAGTTAACTATTGTGAGCTGCTCATATACAAATTATAGATGTATCATGGCATTGATCTGTGGGCTTAAGGGAAAATTTCCGTGTCCAGTTTGTTTGGTTCCACAAGACGAGCAGTCCATTCTCCGTACCCATGAGCTGCGCACAAGCCACCAATCTGAAGACATACTCCGCACTGCAAGATCAAAGCCGTCTGAGAAGGAAAAAGAGGATCATCTAAAGGCTTTCTCGCTTCGAAACATTGAGGTATGCATTTCCCTCCCAACTTACCCTTCCTCTTACAATGATTGACTTGTATTTCAAACAATTCACGACCTCGTATGAAAAACTTCACTTCCTTCCCATTTTACCATTTCTGCTGTTATATCTATTACTATTGACAAGTTTGCTGATGTAATTCAATTGTTAGAATGTCTTCTCGAGAATCCTTCATGTCGATGTTCATCGTGCACTTTCTTTCGACCGCCTGCATACAAACGAGGAAGGATTATGGGGTGACCATTTGTGGAAGGAAGTAAAGTTTTGGATTTTGGACCTCGGGCGTGAAGCGGCTGTCAAACTCGATAAAAAGTATGTATTGTGGCTATAATACATTGACACTACTTCTGACTCAGTGTCTTAGCTTTGATGAACTTCCACGATGGCCTAATTTAACACATTTTTCATCTGTCGTCGCAGTTGATTTCACTGATGGTTCTGTTCTCGGTGATCTGTCCAAGGTTTGTCTGCACCATCATAAATGATTTTAGGTACTTACACAAACTTAGATGATCGTTTTTGCGGCACAGGATATCCTTACTTCATCCCACTGTAAACTGGGACAGTTACTTCTTCGTTGCATTCACTACTACGTCGAGTTTGATATTTATGTCTCATTAGAAGTACATACAGAGGATACAATCGCAGCTGGAAGGCTGGCACTGCAAAAGTTCTCAGAAATGATGGATGTAAGTTGTTCCGATGTTTTCGATGACAATTGTCTGACTTTTCATTAGGAATATATTGCACAATCGCACCCCGAAACCAACAAAAATTGGAACTTTCCAAAGAAACACTTGGTCTCGCATGCATTCGACAATATTCTAGCCAAAGGTGTGACACGTAACTACAGTACCAAGCCAAATGAAAAGATGCATGGCTCTTTACGAAGAATCTATCTTCAACGCACAAATTTCAAGAATGTTGCTTCTCATGTTCGTTGCTTAACTATATTGTTATGCAGATTCAGACCAATAGTTTTTAATTGTTACAGATTCTACACTATGATGAATGGCTTCTAACTTCGACATCCATGCGCTCTGAACTCGCCGAACTCGACAAGTACAATCAACGAGACACCTGTGACCCTGAGACCAACGAAGTACTGGATGACTCCGACACTGGAACATCTAAATCTACTACTATTCACGCACATTTAGGTTCAAGGCAGGGTAATAACTCTTTTTCCGACATCATGCACTTGCATGGAACTGACAGGGCCTTCACCAACTTTCGGATGAAGCTAAACGACTTCTTAAATGGCTTCCTGCCACAGAATAACATTCCATTACCAGATGGAAGGCGCATTCACATGCAAGCAGAGGATACAGTACGTTTACTTTACATTCAATTGATAATACTGATGCATTTCTATCAGATAACAGAGTTTAGGTTCTTGCGGATCAATTATGAATCACTAGTCGACTGGTGCATGCACCGAGACCTACTCCGATGCAATCCAAAGTTCTATGGATCGCCGAGATACGACTGCGTCATCGTGAACACTGCAAACACACCATTCTTCGCTCGCCTCGTATACATGTTCACTTGTTTGGTTGGTGGCACTGAATTCCCTCTCGCACTTATTCAGCCATATGACATCGGTATTGCTAATAGTCGTCGGAGGCGGGATAATGATATGGGATTGTGGCGCGTGCGAGCCAAACCTCGCTCTTCTTCTGAAATCATTTCGGTTCGGTCAATCGTTCGGGGAGCTGCTCTCGCCAGAAATCCCGAAACAGATGGGGATTACTTCGTCATCCACACTGTGGACACTGACATGTTCCTTCGAGTCAAGGCACTCCAGGCTAGCGCTCAACCATTGTGAGGCAAGCTATTATCAGTATTGTTGGTACATTTTTGTCTCCTCATCTTTCGCTTGCAACAAACTTTTATTGATATGCTCCTTCGCAGATCAATAACATGTACTAGTGGTAGTATTACAGATATTTCCCATGCCCTACCCACCCATTTGCACATTCCACGCAGTTCTGAACGACACCCAAAGATCTCGTCAGCCAAGATTCCCTGCAATTCCGGCAATTGAAGAATTTATGATGCGATGTGAGGACAGGCCTCTCGAGAACGACCTCACTTCTATTGTGACGCTCTATGATGGGCGCCTGAGCCTTATAATTGGCACTCTGATCGCATGCATCATGCACAGGACATATCTCTGGTGAAGAACTGGTACTTGAAGCACTTCCTCCTAACCAGCCAGTCAAAGTTTGTATATCACATCAGAAGTTGTTCGAGTTGCTCAAGTGTTTCGTCCTCAATGAGCTCAAGAGTCAACCTGAGAATGCGATGACTAAAAGAATCTCTTCCGGCAGTTGAAGGCGACGAAGTTCTTCCAGATAACTCCCACCACCGCCCATCCTTGATCTTGTTGTCTTGCTTCATCGCACTATCATGCCCAGTAGCTTAGAGGGCCGATGTATCAGACTTGAAAGTGAGTTACTCCATATCACCTTCGCATCCGTTTGGTGATCATCACACTCTATTTACAGTTGTCAGTAGAAAAACACCTTAAATTTCCCTTGTATCGCATTCCCACAAGCATCTACGTATCCATCACTCTCGACTCGAGCAGGCACTGGAAATCAGCCATCGGAGTCTTACCATTTGACGAATCCATCTTACGTTCGTCTTGTATTGTTGTATTGCCTCTAATTCATTGACTTAATATTGGTTTTCAGACACAGTATCAAGCGATGCTAGAACCGGCGCCTTACCCTCGAAGTCGAAGATCTTGTACCTACTGGGACCGCAGTATTCCTCGTATCAACACCATCTTCCAAAAGCATTGTTACACATTGTCAGCATATGGCTAGGTGGGCATCTCAGCGCCATGATGGAAAGTTCTGACAACTGAGCTACTGTGTTGAGGGTAGTGTTGCAATTGAACTGAGGTGACTTCGAAGTGAGTTCAATTCGGTTCAAAAATGAGGCTCGATTCATTTACACCTCATTGTAATAAGCATCAAATTAGGAACGAACAATCCTCAAATGTGTACTTTCAAGCTTCGGGCTGAGTCCATTACACTTCTATTCGTTCCACCTCGACCATCGAACCTAGAATGAACTCTCACCTCGATTCCGATCCGTTCAATTAGAGTATCTTGGAGCACACGCCCTTCAAATAAATTCCTCAGTGTGGGAGGCTCAGCTTGATTGGATAAGTATTTTCATGCACGGCAAGATGGCAAGCCCTCAACATTCACCGTTTTACAGACGTAAGTGACCTTATTTTATCTGAATCGTAAGACTTGATCTGTCCTGCATGATAGTGTGTAGACTTGCAACGTGTAATATCACACATTGACCTGCGTCGTGCTGCGATAATGATTATGTACGTCTTCATTGCGTGTAATTTACCATTCAATTTGACTTTTTCGGTCACAGCCTCATGCCCTCAATGAGCCGATCAGCAAACCTGGACCGCGTGTATGATTACATTGAGTTCACTCCGACACCACCCGACTTCAAGATTGCATAAAATAGCATCAACTGCGAGATGGCTTTGACTCGACACCCTGTGACCCACCCTCTCAGGTTCCAGCTCGTTGAGCATACTATTCCTCCCCATTGCATAATAAATGTCTGACTCTGGCTCAAATCCAATATCCTCAAGTTCTGATTCAGGCTCAGACTCGGTGGATGAAGAACGGCCTGTGGCTCCACCGGGTGTTAACGCTTCTATCGAGCACTACCAAGAGGTACGCTGTTGCTTTCATTCAGATCATATATACTAAATTCTAACATATGCCTTGATACATTAGTATATTAAATACCTCCAGCTTCAACAAGGGCGGCTCCAGCAGCAGAATATGTCTCTGAATGAGAGCAACAACATTCTTGCTGTGCAACAGCTGAAACGTTCTCGCAAACGCCCATCATCCAGGGTACCATCTGTATCACAAGTATCTGTAGCGCCATCTGTGTCTTCTGCATCCTCCGTCGTAGCTTCTGACTCATCGAAGACGGGTGACATCGACTCGGACAAGCTTATTTTAAGCTTGGCCAAAAAGTATGCACTCACTACCGAGATGTTCCTCCCCGACAAGGTCATTTTTCAAACAGACTGTCCTGATCCTCTAGTCGATTTCTCGAATCCAAATCGTTATGCGAAGAGGTCTACAGAAAAGGATGCACTTGTTGCTGAACTCTATGCATCCATTGACCACGTGTTGCATGCTCGGATGCGAACAAATCTGTTCTTCAACCAGGTGCGTAGTTTTTCCTACCTCAAGTCATTAATATTATCGTTATAAATTTAACCAAAACTTCATTTAGTTTGGGAGCGGAATGCAGCAAGCTCGCTCTTCATTCCTAAACAGCCTGCGTACCGTTGCAGGTGGCATCTTCAACATGCCTAACGAATATTTCGTTTCCAAATACGACCGTACTTCCCTCCGGCAGGTCACAGACTTGATTGGATGGGAAGCAGGCAAGGGAAAGATGTATGATATCTTCAAGGCGCCAATACTTTACCCTGACCACATCGTGAATGAGAAGAAAATTTTCAAAAATTGGATCGTCATCGCAAAGGTAGTCTACTCATCAATAACAGACCCAGCTACTCATATGTTGTTTCGAAGGTTATCAAGGTTGCGATATGTGGAAAGATGTCATTGTATTCCAAAGCGCGTGGCGGACCACCTTCCTATGCCAAGATATGGAAGCTTACAAGCTGCACTCCTGGCCTGATTGCATTTGGCGTCACATCAGTAAGGTTTCAGTACTCTAAATTTATACTGAGCTGATACTCATCACGCCCTGTAGATCATATTCATCCTATCTCCGGACCAGGAATTTTCGGGCGATGGAGTTGGTGCTATTTCCTCGATCACATATCACTCCGTCTTTCAGACAGTCAAGAAATTCTTCGTTGTTAAGTGGGCCCACCAGCACATCAAATCTATTGTCGACGAAATCAATGGATATGTCTTCGGTAGTACTGTAAAGATGCAGCCATCCGATAACACTCAGTGTACTGTGGAGCGCGTCACTGAATCACTCGATCGCATTATGGCTGCGCTAGACGCCAGCGATTCAGACTCGAACGATGAGTCATTGGAATATGTCAACTTGCAAGAGCAGGCTAATAAAGATGTACACCTTGCCACTGTAGCCGCAGCGCCAACCATCGCAACCTTGCAACCTACTATGTTCACTGTCGACACTCCTCGACTTGAAGTTGCAGCCCCAGGGCCTGCTGTCATTCCACAACCTTCTATCTCAACTCCACCTATTCCGACACCCATGGCACCGCATGCAGAGACTTCGGCCAATCCCCAGGATCAGAGTGAGGATGCATTACCAGCCGCCGGGCTTATTGGTGTTGCCAAATCTCAGGCAAAGACATCCAGGGGCAAGAAGAAACCTAAGTCGTCGGCCAATGATATCACAACTATTCGCCGCTCCTCACGTCACACAACAACATGAAATTAGAGTCCCCTACCTTGTAGTTGTGTTCCTAGTCTTACTATCAAGATCTGATCACACAATTCCTACAGACACGAGATTTTAGCTCCATTGTAATCTGAGAATGTTTATGTGTCCTTCGACTCGGAATGCATGCATATACTAGCCAAACACCCCCACATACCCATAATCGTGAACGGAGCACTGACAAGCGCGACACCTCGAAGTTTGGCGTTGATCTTCACGCTGGACGCCCCCACATACCCATAATCATGAACGGAGCGCTGACGAGCGCAACACCTTGAAGTTTGGCGTTGATCTTCATGCCAGACGCCCCCACATACCCATAATCATGAATGGAGCACTGACGAGCGCGACACCTCGAAGTTTGGCGTTGATCTTCACGCTGGACGCCCCCACATACCCATAATCATGAACGGAGCGCTGATGAGCGCGACACCTCGAAGTTTGGTGTTGATCTTCACACCAGACGCTACCACATACCCAGTTTGCGAATTCAGATGCGCCATATTGATAACCTTTCAGCTAGTTCCTAATTACCTTGTCTACAAGGTTGACACTCACAGCCGGAAAGATAAAGTTATGCGGCCGTGGGAAGCAATGGTCGATAAATTTACGATATTGTTACCTTGTATCACTGTAACTAGAACCAGTAACTCTCAACATCCTCCACGGTCTGCTTTACTTTCCACTGTTGCTCTGTCTCCTTCTCCTTCTTGGCCAACATTTATGGTCTGAATCGACCTGCATTCTTCTGGCGCTACCCAAACGTCCGTCTATTAATTTTTCAACCTACAATAAAACACGCTGACTCATTTTATTCGAAGTTACGACTAAGAACATCAACAAGAACAAGGCCGCTGGAATCTGCTAAGGACGGAATGATCACCCACCGGCTCCTGAACCCTCGCGATGTGTTTTGACCCGCAGGTCGGGGGCGAACACTCAACAGGTGATCACCCAGGAGGTACAACGTGTTCAGGCTGCTCAACGAACTTCTTTCCATCTCGTCTTAATAAAGACCGAGACACAGGAGGAAGTTCAAGACGATCGTAATGTCTTCTGATGCTCCCAAGACTGACATAGACGAGCAAACGCAACACGAGGCAGAAGTGGCGGCTGTTCTGGATGTCGATGTGGCACCTGAAGCTGACCTCGATGGTGACGAGTGGGGCGATCTCGATGCTGAGGATTTCGATGATCCATTGATGGTCAGCGAATATGTTGTCGAGATCTTCAAGTACATGAAGCAGACCGAGGTACGAGTCTCCGTATATTTTTATCATTCCGTTGTAATTAATGAAACACCTTAAGCTTATAACACTTCCTCATCCGAAATACATGGCATCGCAAAAAGAGCTGGCCTGGTCGATGCGTGGAATCCTTCTCAATTGGCTGGTGTAAGTACATGCACGGTTCTGATTACTTCATGCGACTGTGTTCCTCTGCGTGAACATTGTCGAAAGGTTCTTGTCAGCACACGTCGTCTCCCTCGCTAAACTTCAACTCATGGGCATTACGTCGTGTCTCCATTGCTTCCAAAGGTTGAAGAAATTGTTGCACCATCCATCTCGCACTTCCTTCACTGCGCGGACTCATCCTACACTGAATCCGATATCCTTCTCGCAGAGCGGTACATCCTGAAAACAATCGATTGGAACTTGAGCTATCCGAACCCGATGCACTTCCTGCGCCGCACACGCAAATCGGATGATCACAATGGGGAAACACTGGAGTGGCGGTTGCTGGCCACGCCACCTTCCCTGCTGCTGCTGCGCCGACCTGGTTGGGACACCTCATTCTCGGCAACAATAAATGGGTAAGTAGTGTAATATGTGCCATGTTCGATGTTGTTGATAACATTTCCGGGTTCTAGACTCTGAATCATGCCCAGAGCGATGGGAAGCGGGCGAGCGGGTGTCACTTAGCTAAGTTACCGGCCATTCATGCAAGACAAGGGAGTAGCTAGCGGCAGCAGGCTTGGACGGTGATGAGTATGAAACTTCGTAAGTCCGGTGACGTGCATTATCATTCAATATTCCTTCATCACGACTATCATTGTCCCAACACAACTGACGGTCAGCAGCAAACAGAGCAAGAAGGATGGGGGAGAGGGTCATTTTTACCGATATCATAATGTAGATTAGTATTTGTATTGACATCTCGCAATAACAATTGATATGCAATGCATGCTCATCACCACCTCGTTAGGATGGCATTAAGACTCGGTTGATATGCATATTAAAACTCAGTGGGTACCATTAAAATGGGCATTGATACTTGGTGGGTACATTAAAATGCCTATTATGTCATCATGTCGATGTGCATTTAAATGGGTCAAAATGCTGACTGTTTGATCATAATGTATTATAATAGGTCCGTGTCGTTAGGCCATTTTAATGGATTAAAATGCCGTAAAAAAAGTTCTGACATGAACAATGATCACCATGAACAGCAAGGCGTGACTTGTGAGAGTTTGGACTTAACAAGATTTTTGAATGTGTCCAGTCACATGACCATCATATCTCACTGCTGGTCTCGGTAATATCTACACAGTGCACACCATCCTCATTGACTCCTCGACAAATTGTTCAGCATGAAAGACGACATTATTGATGGCTATAGTACATTTACTTTTGCCATCTCCTCGCTCATTTATCTATGCTACACTTTTGCACTGCGTGCCCTAAAAATGTGGTGTCTATCGTGTCATGGAACGCCGGCATGCTGCAAAGCATGTGAAGCAAGATATTCATATTCGTCATGCCAGAAATCTCAAGAGAAAGCTTTCTGAGTCCAGACAGCCAAGTATCTATGCTGCAACATCTGCTGACCCTGATCCTTCACTTTCCCCTGCGAGTCATGATGACTTCAGCATGTATTGTATGGATGATTCACCTGTCGACACGCAAGCCAATGGACCGTCCATGGTGCCCGAAACAACACCACATGATATGGATTCCAAATATTCGTTAGCCGATCTCTGGAACAAGATCATCGGCAGTTGAACGCTCCAGCTTGATAATGAATTTCTGGACCTGTTTGCTGAACTGCAGGTGTCCGTTGCCTCAGGACAAATAGCCATCTCGATGCCCATCATTCCCACCAACAAGGAGCGTGAGCTTATCGACAACAGCGCACCTGATTTTGGGATTGAAATTCCTGGTGAGTGAACTATTCTGCCTGTGCTCTGTAATCTAATACTCAGAGATATTTGCAGATGACCTGCTTCTTGAACCAGCGAGCACCAATTACACTGTCTCCCCGGACCAGCCATTATATCCCTGGCCCTTGAAAGCAGTAGGTATTTTTTGCATACACATATATAATACATCTAACAACATCAAGCATTTCACCACCTCCCTTCTCTTTAGTTCCCCGCGGCTTCCGTTCTCCGAAGCCCAAAAGAAGGCTGTTTTGAATTGGGCCAAAGAACTTGGTGTCCGAAGCCTTCCATCACTTAGCGTGCTGAAGAAGTGTCAGAGTTCCCTGCAGGATCTTGTCGGCGATCCCACTGAGAAGGTAACATCTCACTCGGGAAATGTATTCTACATCAATAGTGTTGTGAAAGCAATTGCAAAGGTTCGTGGGATAGATATCTGTGCTGTTGTGATATTAACTTAATTGATAGGACTACGCCAATCCCCTCACTTGCCTCGCAATGCAAGACTATCCAGAGGATGGTGGAAAGGGAATGTCAGAAGTGTTCAATGGGAAGAAGATGCTGTTTGATCTCCCATCGCCACCAGCAGTTCAGGTGGACAGGACTGTGTATTTTACAGACAAATTGTTACAGGAGTCGTCAGGAGGCTATTTCATCCCCAAACGATTCTTTCTCGCTGCTGCTGATGCCCCCACTGATACCACCAAACCCTGCAAGCAATCAGAGAAAGTCCTTTATGCATTGGGTTGAGTCGTTGAACGGACGGAGTTATGTGGTCTTTATGTCTATGTAATGTGTGCTTGTACTCAAATTTGTATCAGGCTGGGTTCATTGTTAGTGATGACTGAGGAGATCATACCGACATCTATGTTTCTACGATCATTTGGAGACATTGCCGCAACCTGCAGCGAGCTTGACTGTGGCCTTATGCGTATGTTTTGCTCTGATCTAATTGGTGACTACGAGACTAAAGCATGGTTCAGCATCTTCTGTCAAATATGCGTTGCTTTCACCCAATCTGCTGCGAGAGAAGTCAAAAGGTCGAATGGTGCATACTGTCCCCTTAATTATCTTCATGGATGATGTTTCTGCCTTCAACATATAGAAAGAGAAGGTAAGCTGCTGCTTTCACAAATATTGGACTGCTGATGGCTGTAAGAGGATTCACTATTTAGATGAGACTAAAATTAATAAAATGAGATCAGGTGGACAGAAATTTGTATCAAAAAAGATGGGAGAACTATCAAGATAAAGAGAAGTCAAACAAATACTAAGGTTTTAAGGAGAAAATATAATGATATGGGGCTATATGGGATGAAATGAAGTGGGAATTTTCTATGAAGCTGAGGGGAGGATGAATGCAGAGAAGCAAATCTTCATTTCATGAGAGTATCTGCTTAGAAGTATGCAGGAGTCATGGGTTAATGAAGAAGATCCTATTTTGTTACAAGATAATGACCCTGAGCATACCTCTAAATTGGTCACCAATAGTTTAAAGACCATGATATTACTATTCTATTATGTTCAGCACAGATAGAAGACATCATCCCTATTGAATATCCCTGGGAATCACTCAAGAAATTGCTTGTAGCATATTAAGATCCATTATAGGGGCTATTTTAGCTATAGGACAGTGTTACAGCAGAATGTGATAAGAATACCAAGGAGGAATACCCAAAATTGATAGAGAATATGTCTAGAAGAGTGGCAGAAGTGATTAGGGGAAAAGGAGGTCACACATAGTACTAGAATTGTAGAGATTGTATTAGTCAAACTTAAAGTCAAAGAAGTGTCTGAATGAGTCATCATGTTAAAATAGTTATATCTTCACACAATGTCATTATATTCCCACGCTATAGGGAACAAAAATAAAGCTGAGATGCAGGTCCTTCCAATACCTTCCTATAGCTTAGTCATATTCCTATGTCCCAACACATGATAAAGCAATTATATGAAAAGCTATAAACATTCAGACACTTTTTTGAGCCACTGTTCCTTTTTCAGCATGTTAAACATCTTCATTGAATGTGAATCAACTACTGTGACTTCGAAACTCCATTGCTTTCAATATAAAGTACTGCAATAGACTCAGTTTCATTTATAGAATATAACCTGTTGAACAAGTAGACACAATTCTAAAGTTTGAAATTTTCATCATCAAAAATTGGAACATCTCTCCAAAAACTGTATTTTAGCACTGATAGAGGCCTGTAGGGCCTCTGGGTGAGTGTAAACAATGTTCTGAGGAATGTATACAGGCTCTGTGAGGTATCTAAGATGCAATCAATGCAATTATTTCATTCAGGAGTCCCACATGGCCTTGAGACTTGTAATTCACCAGAATTAGAGATAGTCTTCACAGATACAAATGTTAATGTTGACTGGCCAGCCTGTCGCTTCACTTTGGCTCATGCAGAGGCTTTATTAGGGCATGGCATGACTGTCTGTCAAGCATGAGGCAGATTCAAATGGATCAACAGGCCAACAAAAAATTGGACTACATATCTTTTTAAGCTAGCAAGCCTGTTGAAAATGTCAAACAGAGTTCTGAAGTTCAAAATAATGTGATGCAAAGGAGTTGAAATGGTGTTGCATTGTAGATGAGGAATGTAAAGGGTAGGTAAAAGAATAGTATGAGATATACCCAAGTAGTCCTCTGTGCACGAGCTAATGTCAGCCCAAGGGGACTGCTACTGAGAAGGTTCCTCTAAGTCTATAAAAGGAGGGAAAACACTGAATTGGATACTTAGTCAAGCCTGGTAAGATGTACAACAATGAGCAAAGCATGAAAGAGTAAGAGCACTGTGAAGCACTGCTGAGCAATGAAGTGTGATGGCATGCACTGAGCAGATGCAATGCAGGCATGCAGGTAATGGAGTGAAGCAACTATTTAATGAGTTGGAGGATAGACAAGCAGAGGTTCTAGTAGAGTGTGATGGTAAGCACTCATGTATAATTAAGTCACTTAGTGTCGGTCAGCAAATAGTATCATAGGGATTTAGACTTAGAGTCCAACATTGTGTGGAAAGAAAGATGTCCATTATACAGCACACCTGATGTTCCCATGTATCTAGGCTAATTAGACATGACAGCTGGGCATGATGGCAGGTCTTATTCGACTGGCATTTAGCTGTAGCCACCCAAATGAATAATTATTCGATAATTCAAAGCCTTTGAGTGTAGCAAATACTTACTGCTAGCGTAGGGGGGTAGTATAGAGCCTCGGCAACTTCAGCAACCTGCTCCCGGTGTGCCTGGGAGTTATTTTAATGTATCCGTCCATTAATAGAAATACCGCCAGCAGTCAAAGGGCCACGTCACCGCCGAGCTTGCTGTGCGAGACAGCGAGCTCGAGTATCTCGCCACTACATTCATCAATTGAAGCTGGGTTTTTTTAAACAGGTAGTATACAATGTAAGTAATGATTATCTATTATTATGCATCTCCAGCAACCTGCAGGATGGCTTCCAGGACACGAGAGTCCTCCTCCCCATCTGCATCAGCAATCTCCTCCTCCAGGTCCTGCAGCACCTCATCCTCACCCTCCTCCATCATAGTGGGGCCCACAGGAAGGAGCTTCGCAGGAATGCACACGGCAGCTGCACTCGCAGCTGCACCAGGACCTTCCTCGACACTTTCACCTGGTGCGATCAATCCTGTAAAGCCCGGCAATGCACTGATTTCGTGCAGGCGGCGGAGGTGGTAGGATGTAAATCTAGCGCGTATGTTCCGGTGTGCTCCAACTTGATGGGCGAGGGCAGGATGCATCGACTGAAGCTGCTTCTGGCACTCAGTCAAGTAAAGTTCTTCGTCACGCAAGTAGGTGGCCATGCGACGGATCTCGACGTTGAGGCGCTGTATTTCCTCGCTAGCCCGACGCATCTTGAAGTATGTATCCATCGTATGTCGACCTGTAGGAGTGGCCCAAGGGCAGTGTGAAACGTCTTGCCGTGCATCTCGCAGAAGGTCGAAGTCTGCAACAAAGGCATACTCGACAACATCTTCCCATGACAGAGTAGCGCGTGGGGGAGAAACAGCGCGTGCTGCTGTATTGTACTTGTCGAGAGCTGTGCGTATTGTGGCTGAACGCACTTTCAAAGCCTTGCCAATGTGTTTCCGAAGCTTGTAACCTGGTAGGAAATCAGCGAGATTCAAGCGAACACATTTAGACTAACCTGTTCCCGCTCTATTCATCTTTGAGAGCTCAAAAATTCGGGCGACAACCAAACCTTCCAGGTTATCGAGCGCACGTTGCAACTTGCGATTGGCAACTAGACAACCAGCATCTCTCCATTCCGGATCATCAGGTACCCATCTCCGAGTGATCCCGAGTTTGACTTCAAGCTCCTGGACGACCTTCAAATCCTTATCGTAGTTCTCAATCGTGTGTCTCCACGCAGTCTCATTCCTCGTCGTTGAAGTGACATCGTGGGCCCCAAACTGTACGGTTCTCGGTGTGGACACTGCCCAAGCCATAGACGCGGCATCGAGATCTTTTCTAAGTGAACCTTGTTAGCTCATGCATGAATCAACACAGCGGATACGCACCTGCTCCCAGACAAGTTCACCAGCCTCTGCCAATACTCCATGTGGAGTGTCTCGTGTTCCGGCTCCTGCGTGAGGGACATTAGGTAGCTGCGTTCCTCGGCCAGCCAAGCGTCGAAAACATTGTCATCTGTGACACCGAGCTCGGCCATCAGTTTGGGTAGTGTTGTGTGGGCGTCATGGAGCACATTGAGTGCCTGCTTGTAGTTGTTATATAGAAATGTAGCTAGCAATTGATCAAATGTTAGCGCTGTGTCCTACTTGCTATTGATGTGATGACTTACTAAGGTTCACATACACTTCAAAATCATCATTATGTTGAAAATAGTTGGCAATGGCTTGTCGCCGGTGGAAGATACTGGCATAACGAACAGATGCCGCCAGCGCATTGGACTTGGAGAAGATGCGTTCGCACCCTTCAAGATCTTCAAGTCCGAGTCCGTCGATGTAGGTGGTGAGATGATTGAGTTGACAAAGGCGTCGGTGAGCGTGTCCGTGGAAAGCTCCAACAAGGGAAGTGTGGTTGAGATTGTGTGCACGGCGTCCCAGAGAACTCCGGCTGAGCGTGGTTTTGAACCTGCAGCCGACATCGTAGCCACCACCCAAGTCCTTCCAGAATGTATCCAGTAGTTTTGAGACCACTGCCAGAGGGTATTTGGATCTATAAGTCAAATCAGCGAGCAAAAAACAAAAGATAAAACTACTTACTGTTCGCCGCTCTGCACCATGTCAGCAATCAGAAGCGAGAAGCCGTGACGACAGGCAGACATGAAAATCCCGGATTCATCAAACACACCCCACATCTTCCTCATCTTCTCGTCCCTCATATTCTTCCATCGTCCCGCACAAGGATTGTCCTAAACACCAGGTAAGCAAACAGAGTAGGCATGAAGAAAGACTTACCTCGTCTTCATCTGCCATCATATCTGCTGGTGAGTCGGCCAAAAATTGATCTACATACTCCCTTGATAAATACCGGTGTAGGAACAACAATACAATGAGGAACAAAAGAAGCTCCTGACTGTATCTGTAAAAGTTGTAAGGTCGCGCGCTGCCTAGTCTGCGTTACTTGAGAAGCAAGTGCGTTTGACCCTATAGGGGAAGTGAGTGCAGCAAGGATCTAGAAGTGTGCGCTTAAGCGAAGCGCGAGAAAGCGCAGGTGCGCGCAAGGTACAAAGGCGCGGGAACGCGCGCGCGTATTAGCGCGAAGCGTGGGAAAGCGCGCGTGCATATGCGGAAATGAGAAACTAAGCTTAAGTAGTGATATAAAGCAAGATAAGAGATATAAGAGTGCAAAATGTAAAGGAATAGCTTTCTACTATATTCTGCTAAGTAGTAAGTGGGTAGTAACTAGTAAGTGAAAAGTAGGAAAAGTAAGGTTCTAGTGTAGTATGTACTGCTGGCGCTTATATAGCGCGCCTAAGCGCGCTCATGCGGAGCCGAAGCGCTACCGAGTAGGTATGTAAAAATATATATGAGTGAGAAACTATGATAAAAATAAAGGTGGAACTATGCTAATAAAGGAAATGGAAATATACATACTAGGGAGCTTGGTGGACAGTGGATGGATGCATCTGGATGGCTGGCGCTATAGGGCGCGCAAGCGCAGGAACGCGCGCGCGCGTATACATCGTGAAGCGCGGGAATGGTGCGCGCATGGCGCGCGTTGCGTGGGAAAGCTGCGCCTCATATAGAGATAGCTGCGGGTAGCGCACAGAGTAATGCTATGAGTTCGTGCTGTGTACTCCTTGGTGAAAACTACCATATCACACCATGAGAGGCATGATTCTCTACATCTCCCAGGGACTTAAATTCTGAGTGTCCCCACTCAGCGCGCGCGTGGTGAGGATTTTGCGTGATAGTATGCGAGTGCGATGCATGTATGATGCTTGGGTTGTGGGGTGATGAATGTGCAAGTGCAGGAATTGTCGCGCGGATGTGCATGACGCGCGGGAATTTGCGCGCATGGTACGCGCGAGGCGCGAGAATGTGCGCGCGCTATGCGTGAAGGCGCGGGGATAAAGCGTAGCATGGCGAATTGCAAGGGTGACTCTGGGGTGAATAGTGTTCCATGGGTGTGAGGCGATGATGTGAGAGTGATATGGACATGGCGCGCGAGGCGCGGGTGGGATGCGCGCATATGGTGTGAAGCGCGGGAAAGTGCGCGCGCGCAAGGCGCGAGAAAGTGCGTGAGTGTCGCATGTGTTGTATTCTGTGGGGATGATGCGAAGTGGCGCAGTCCAGGAGCGATCCAATCCATGTCCAAACCAAGTCCTATTAGGCGTGCTAAATATTAGTTGCTAAAGGTTTGAACAGCATGAGTAAAACTATATGTGAAAATATGAAGGGAAAATGGTAAACGTTGCGGATGTCCTATCCGACTTGTCTTCTTCATGCAGCTGTCAACATCTACACCTTCCTATGAGAAAGGCGCGGGAAGCGCGCGCATAAAGCACATGTGCGCGCAAGGTGCGTGAACACGCGCGCGTGCGCGTGAGCGTGGGGAGACTGCACGCATATGTGCGCGTTCTAAGGTAAAAAGGAGCATGGTGCCGCGTCATGCATGCGAAGAGAAAATATACTATTGAGCTAGGCGGGCACGTTCTATGATTGTTTTTTTCTTCTATGTTCTTCTAAGTGATTCCTATATGCATATATATCAGTGTGTTATTAGTTCTTTGGACAGCATTATAATGAGAGAAAATGAAAATGAAAGCGCTGGACGAAACCCAGGGTAAAACAAACAATATCCTATGAAACAGTGTTGGTATATGTTCCTCCTTTGATGCGCCGCTGGAGCGCTCGATCCTCCTCCTTGAGCGCGTGCGAGCGCGCGTGACTAGCGCGCTTCGCGTCTCTTGCGAGCTAACACTTTACCCAAGGTAGGGTTGGAATACGCGAGGCTGGCGCGCTTGGGGGGGCTTGTGACTGGCAGAATGAATTCCTGCACAACGCGCTGCAGGTTGAAGGCGCGCCAATGGGAGGCGCTGTGAGGGGTGTAGAGGCGTCCTACAAGCTGATAGGATGCGCGCGATGTGCGCGCCTTGGGGTGATTTCGCGCGAATTTGATTATATTGGCCGAACACGCGAGGAACGGCCATTTCTCTGAAAATGGATTAGCGAGAGACATATATAGCGTGAAATTAGGCGCAAATGTTGCGTGAATGGGCTGTAAGGGTGGTATATCAAGGCGCAGTAGGCGCATAGGTGAAGGAGAATAGTGCGCATCAAGGCGCACAGGAACAAAATTGACATGGTAAGCAAAAGTACGAAGAATGTGAATAAATGTGGAGATTGCAAAGTTAAAGATGATGATAGGGGGGTTAGGCGCATATGTATGTGTCAGGCGCGCGCCTATGTCGCGCCTGGATGGCTGAATGGAATATGTCTTGAGTTGAATGAAAAATTTGTGATTTAAAGGGGGAGAAATGATAGAAATGCGATAGCGTGAAAACTCTGCTAAAATTATGAGTGCGCGAGGCGCGGGAATGCGCGCGCGTATTGCGCGATGCGCGTAATCATGGCGCGTGAACAAGGGGTAGTGCAAGGATGAAATTAAAGTGTTTGGAATGGTCATATAGCTCCTTAAGAGCTTTAAACATGAAAGAGACAAAAAGCGCGAAATGAGATGAGGGTAAATATACAATACCTCTAGGCGCGCGCATTGCGCGTCCTCAGGCGCAATATGGTGCGCCTGAGTTGCGCCAGGGTCGCCTGAGACATGCTCTGCTTGGTGGTTAGGTGGTATGATGCATGGATGCTTTACTGGCACGCGATAGTCACTGGAAGCAAAAAGCGCGACATGCGCGCGATCATTAGTGACAGTTGGAGTTACCAGAGGCAAACTCTGGTTGATGCAAGGTGCAACTTGAGCCTCTGATGTGGTAGGAGGCTCCTCTATAGGTGCGCTAAGGTGCAATAGATGTTTAGGGTCATCCCTGACCTCTGATGATGCGAATGGCGAATGCGGTGATGGTGATGGTGCGATTGGCGAGGTTTCTTCCTTAAGCGATGCGATAGGCGGGCGCGTTTCAAGCGATGGCGTAATAACGTCCACAATGGGCGCATTACTGTGCAATAGATATTTAGAGTCATCCCTGACTTCTGGCGAGGTGATAGCGATAGGCGCGCGTGTTTCAACTGGCGCGTTAGTGTGCAATAGATATTTAGAGTCATCCCTGACTTCAGGCGCAATTGATGGTGATGGTGATGATGCGGATTGTGAAGGAGATGGTGCTGCTGAGGATGATGGTGAAGAGGCGCCTGCGGTGCGCTTCTGGTTGCGCTTAGCAAGCGCGCGCTCGAGTTCGTGATCTAAAGTGGTGCGTTCTGGTATGGCTTTGCATGCTGGTGCAGTTGATGGTTGAGGTGCGCGTGAATCGTGCGAAGGCGCGGGAAAGGCGCGCGTGCGAGGCACGAGAATTGGAACTGGTGGCCTTTTGTTAAGTGCAACTTCCGAGGGTGCGCGATAGAAGAGTCCAGCTGTCGCATTAGCGCTAATGGTCGTATCCTGTGTTGCGCGACTCGCTTGATAGCGATCTTGGCACTTAGCCACTGGTGCGCTAACTGGCGTGTTTGGCGCTATAGTGGGCGCGCTAATTGGTGCGCTTACTGGTGCGCTTGGCGCGGGAAAAGCGCGCCCAGATAATAGGAACTGCGCAGCTGCAAAGACGTCCATAAATGGATATGGGTCGTATGGGTGGTGGTCAGGGAACTTGATCATAAGGCGCAAGCGGATTTGCGCCTGAGCATCGCTAGGGATTCCTTCCATGAATAAGCGGTCGCGTTCGGCCTTTCCAATACAGTCTTCGTCCATGAGTGGCTGCATAACCTTCCTGAATGCGCGCAGGTAATTGCTGAGTTCTGTGCAAGAAGGCATTGGTTTGTTAGCGTATTCGCGCGCGATGGCGCGCAAGTCCGCAAGCGCGTAGCGTCTTTTACCATCCCATCCAGGATACATTACCTTCACCTCATCTAAAAAGGCGCTGTAATTATCTACTGCCGCTTCTGGCATGCCTCCCCATAGTTCTCGATCATCGCGCGCAAGGTAGCAGATGATACCTTTGATGCGGTCAAGTCCTTGGAGTCCTGCTTCATCAGCAAGCTGCTCATAGGTGTCAATAAACTCGGCCAGGTTGTCTGTAGTGCCATCGAACTTGGGCGCGTTTGCTGTGCCGCGGATGGGCATTCTATAAGGCATTGCAGCGTGAAAAAGCGCAGGCGCGCGCGAGGCGTATCACAGGTGCGCGCGTGAGGCGCAGAGCGTGGGAAAGCGCGCGCGCAAGGCGCGAAAATGCGTAACTAAAAATTGGTTAGCTTTTGAATATGTAAAGAGATTGACCTTTATGTGTTAAATAGCGTGAAGTGCGAAGATGCGCAAAACTAGATCTTGCTGACTGCTCCCCTCGCGGTGGGCTCCAGTTGTAGGAACAACAATACAATGAGGAACAAAAGAAGCTCCTGACTGTATCTGTAAAAGTTGTAAGGTCGCGCGCTGCCTAGTCTGCGTTACTTGAGAAGCAAGTGCGTTTGACCCTATAGGGGAAGTGAGTGCAGCAAGGATCTAGAAGTGTGCGCTTAAGCGAAGCGCGAGAAAGCGCAGGTGCGCGCAAGGTACAAAGGCGCGGGAACGCGCGCGCGTATTAGCGCGAAGCGTGGGAAAGCGCGCGTGCATATGCGGAAATGAGAAACTAAGCTTAAGTAGTGATATAAAGCAAGATAAGAGATATAAGAGTGCAAAATGTAAAGGAATAGCTTTCTACTATATTCTGCTAAGTAGTAAGTGGGTAGTAACTAGTAAGTGAAAAGTAGGAAAAGTAAGGTTCTAGTGTAGTATGTACTGCTGGCGCTTATATAGCGCGCCTAAGCGCGCTCATGCGGAGCCGAAGCGCTACCGAGTAGGTATGTAAAAATATATATGAGTGAGAAACTATGATAAAAATAAAGGTGGAACTATGCTAATAAAGGAAATGGAAATATACATACTAGGGAGCTTGGTGGACAGTGGATGGATGCATCTGGATGGCTGGCGCTATAGGGCGCGCAAGCGCAGGAACGCGCGCGCGCGTATACATCGTGAAGCGCGGGAATGGTGCGCGCATGGCGCGCGTTGCGTGGGAAAGCTGCGCCTCATATAGAGATAGCTGCGGGTAGCGCACAGAGTAATGCTATGAGTTCGTGCTGTGTACTCCTTGGTGAAAACTACCATATCACGCCATGAGAGGCATGATTCTCTACACCGGTCACCTCGAACCACCTGCGTAGAAGGGAGTTCGGCAGAGCGTGGAGGCGCGTTGTCGTTGTCATCGTCTGAGTCAAGTTTTTTTAAAACTCGCTTCAGCGAATCATTGCCGTCCATAGTGTAGAGTAGGCTGAATTTCAAAGGTACTTCACCTTTGAGCGTGTATGTACACGCTGGACATGCGTGCTTCAGGCGCCAAATTGGATCGGAGCGGCTGATCGCTTGGTGAACCAGTGAGTCAACATTGGCGAGAATTTGTAAGTAAACGTCAAGCGCGATGGAAAATTGACGCGACAAGTATGGATAGAATTGAACCTGATATAAAGCAAGGTTGAGACATTAAGTATGAGGAAAAAATGAGGTACGCACACCTTGCAGGTCACATAACGTCCTCACGTAGGCCTGAATTGAGAAATGCGGGTTGCGCTGACATGCGATCCGATAGAAATCGAGGGCCTCCATTGTTATTGCGGTTGTTGGGCTGATAGGAGAACAAGGGATCACGCCTTGGCATACGAGTGCAGACGCGATGAAGGTGTCTGTTGAAAGAATACCAAGCGGTATTCTTTCAGCGTCTAATGTACATCAGCAATCCGTAGCCAGTACGTCATCAGAAGCTCACAAAATACATCTACTACCTTTATCTCAATCGACCCTGCATTCATGTCTTGAACATCCGAGTAGCGAGAAAAGAAACCTCGCCCGTCCAACGTGCTATGAACAAGGTGCCAGTCCATGTAAGCGTCTATTAATGCTGACATTTGGGTGTCAAAGGCCTGTGTACGGCGCCTAGTCCTGTCACGTCTGGTCCTGTAGTCCGTGCGACGATTACAAGACTTTCCTGTGTTTCTAGTGTAGAACATTTTGGTATGGTAAGTCTCAACACCTGATGTCGCAAGGTCAACTCACATTTTCCAGAAGTCACCCACAAGTTTTCGAGTGAGTTCTTGTAGCTCACCGCCCACATGACTAATATCTATTGGCTCAGAGCCATCCAGGACGTTCGCGCCGAAGTCATCGTCCCCGTCGAACCCACATTCACCGAAGTCAGAAGCATTGCGACTTTGTCGCAATGCTTCAAGGGCGCGCTTTTCCTCTGCGCTCAGTACTATGTAAGTGTGTTAGTTTCTTTTTGATCCTGATCGCACTAACGAAATAGATTGTTTGCCGGTGCGTACCTTTCATTCGGCTCTTCTTGCGCACGCTTACACCTGCTGCTCGTTCAGCAATTTGTTTTGAACCTAGGACTTCCTGTCAAGGATGAAGACCCCGATTGATGGGATCTCGGTGGGATATGACATGGCGAATTTTCTGCGAGGTGAGTCCTGTGCGATTTTTGAGTCGTTTGTTGAGGTGCCCGGGTGCCATTGTTTTTTAGAGTCGAGAAACATCTTGCCCACGTGACGGCGCAGACTTAACAATTTCTAACAACGAAGACTGATCCCTCCATCATGAGCTCCCGGTCAACACAAGGTAGGCACACCACTTACTTTTTTGTGTTCTCATTAACGAATTTTCTAGATCTATGGCATCTGCAACCGTTGGTGACTCGCACTTGGACCAACTGGATGACGCAGACACAGTCCGAGCGAAAGACAATGCGGACCAAGATAACTGGGGGTGCCACGGAGACCGAGACGATTAAGGAGAAAACTCGGACGACAGACAGAGAGTCGACGCAGAAGATCACTGGTCCGGTAAGTGCATTTGTGAATGACCCGCAAACAATGTACTGATATCAAATATAGCCTGATCTCTCCATCTTAAACACTCAAGTCGCACAGCCCCCATCACAACCTCCTTCATCACCCACGGAGTCTGTTTCACTCAGTTTGGTCACTCAAGATGCTCCAGAGACGCCTCCTTCCTCACCCTCTTCTACATCCCACTCGAGTGATGATTTGTGGGCTCAAGTGGAGGACTTATCAGGCCTTATAGATGGAATAGATTTAGGCACTTAAGTTCTTACATACAATGTACCTTTGATCTTCGAAAATGCTATCAAATCGATACGAAAATTGTTCCGTCGATATTTGTTCCTTGTACATGCACTTAAGTTTGTGTCCCGAAGTGTGGCTCAATTTCATGTCTGATTAACAGTAAAATCAGTTAGCGCAAACTGTCGGTCACATCCAATCTATGCTTCTACTTTGCAACAACACGAACTATGCATCCCAAGTACAAAACTGCAGAGGAGCGCAGAGAAGCTCGACTTAAAACTAAGAAGGAGAGCTATGCACAGTGATTTTGTTCAGTTCTCGTCACTTCGGCACTGACTCAATACATTCCTAGTCGCCGAGTCCAAGAACAAGCAAAGTCCCGCACACGATGGCGACATCGTAGAGGAGCAGCTATGGTAAGTACTCAGTTGAAATCTACACACATCTCACCAATGTCTGCACTTAGAATACTCAAGATCTTCTTCAGCGCCTCGATGATCTATGGTTAGATCTAGGTTATCGTGGCAGCACTCTCCAATACGAGTTCTTGGAAGCGCACGGGTTGTCGATCGTGATGGAGGTCGATCGAGAGGGTTGGGATTCAGTCAAACCGCAATGTGACGCAAGGCTCGCAGAGGTGAAGATTCTCCTCCAGCAAGTATCAGACCTGCGTACTGCAGCCTGTGATGCCAGCGGGCCACTCACGGATCAATTACGGGACAGAATAGTATCTGCCGTGGACACAGTAGGTTTGCATGTCCGTGCATTGGAAGAGCTGTTGTCGTTGATGGACATTGGAGTGGATACTTACTTTGATGCCCTTCAATATGGTTCACTCGTCTGGCAAGGTCCCAAATAATGTAGTGTAGATCAGCAAGGCCATGATATTCAATTCAAATTTTAAAAAAGTCTGAGCCAAGAATACAAAATCTACCAAGAGACGTCAAAAGATGCATAGATGAGTGCCAGGCATCTAGTAGGGGCAATGAGTCGGCTGACCATTTGATTGCTGGTCCTTGTGAATTGATTAAAAATTTATTTCATAGCGTGAGTTAACTGACCTTAGTGATACTCGAACGAGCATCACTAAGGTCAGTTAACTCACGCTACGAAATAAATTTTTAATCAATTCACAAGGACCAGCAATCTGTTGTGTAGTGCTAAGTATTACTGCCCTGGCGGCCTTGCCTCCAACTCTCGATATAGGAGTATTGTGCACAGCCACATTGACAATGTGGTGGCATTGCTGCCGGTACGCACGGAAGCAAATGTTCGAATTAGTAAGTCAGTCTTGTTAAACCGTCAGTAGTATAGTCCCCTCTCTTGATGTTCTGCTGGGCCTGAGTTGGGTTCATCACAGGGTTGATATTCAAGACCTGGTTCATGTGAGGGTTGATGTTGCTGCTGGCGTTTATTGGCCTGGGCATGATGCTAAGGTGCGTGTTTAAATTCATTGAGTGTTGGTTTCGATTAACGTTCAGAACACCCATGCCGCCGTACGCAGGATTCACCTGGTAGAGAGGATGGTGGGAGCATGCCCAACACTGAGGCGTCATGTTCATGCGTACCTGAGGGTTGCTGAGGTTTGGCATACCACTCATCATATTGGACATGTCCATGTCCCCACTCATGTTCTGCATACTGGCAGGCATGTTCAAAGGAGCTGCGCGAGTGTCAAATTATGTGCCATCCGCTCTGCCATGACAGGTGAGTTTTCAAAGCACCGTCCCTCTGTCCAACCAAAGTTCTTACATGTTGTTAACATGCTTTCGCCGTGCGCAAGCACGTGACTTCAAGGTCCTAGAATCCGGTCAAGGTAAGCAATTAATTTTTGTGATTCCGTTGACAGTCGTTGCCCTCTCATTTTCACTGATTTTTTGCTTCAGCTTTGCTTGTGCTTCAGCTTTGCACAATGGACTTGCCAAATTTTACGTTCCCACCTGACTTCAACTTCCAGTGTAGCGGCTCTCTGCAAGGTAAGTAGCCAAATTCATTGTTTGACTTATAAATTTTTTAATATACATCCTAGGGAATGGCAACACTAGCGCAGATTACCCTCCATATCCTCCTTCCATGATGGCCGGATGTCCGTTTCACGCAACCTTCCCATATTCCCAGTCGTTCGATAGCAGAATCGATTGGAATGATCCATCGTTATACCAGTCTGCCCCATCACTGTCTGATCTGCTCAACGGGTGCCATGACACGTGGAACACGTTGTTACCTCCTGCCCCTCAAAATAACGCATCAGACATGTCCCACGCCGTCAACGCATCGTGGGACGCGTCTCAACAGACCACTCTACCCGCTGGACACGAAGACGCGTGTCAACAGACCACTCTACCCGCTGGACACGAAGTGTTAGATGCATACCGTGCCATCAACACATCTCAACAAGCTACTCTACCAGCTGGACATGAAGTGGCGAATTTGAATGGTGCGGGTCTCCATCACATCACTTCAGATTACTAACACGTCATTTCAGACCACTCAGGACAGCAAGACAACAACGAGGAGGCGCTACTCAACTCTCATGTGGAGACTGGCACATCAGAAGTCCCTGCTGACGCGAACAACTCATCATGGGCTGCTAGGAATCCAGATCGGCCTGTTTTGATGTCTCGAGCCCCTCTTAATGCTGCGCAGAAAGCACAAGCCAATGCACGAAGAGCATCACAAAAAATTTCAGCTGCACAACGCAAGGAGACTGAAGACACGCTCACTGGTGCCATCCGACGGATACTTGCAGAGCAAAATGACAGGATCGAGGCCATCGCGTCCGAACATGGCGTCACTCAAGACAAGGTGAAGAAGCTTATGGGAGGTGAAAGGTACTACAAAAAAGGGAGCCGAAATACGCAACTCGCCAATGCGTTGATACATGCAAAAGCGCAAGAGGTCAATGCAGGTCAGTCGTGTGCCTCGAGACATTTGCGTGCATAATGTTAATAAAACAATAGATCGTCCTCGTGGCGCCAAGTATTCACTTGATGAGATTCGAGAAATGGTCAAGGCAGACGAGAGTATGCAAAACCTAGTTCACGAGGAGCAGCAAGAATATATTACCAAACTCAATGAATGCCGTGCCCTCCAGAACATGAGTATTCGCGCAACGAACACTGCAGCAGCCCGAGATGTTCAGTCAATGTTAGATAATGTCTTTAAGATGGTGGGTTCAATGCAACACTTTGTTTAATGTTAGTTAACTGTTCTATAGCTTGATGGTCTCGCCCTTCGAACTGGAATCTACACCTGCCTCTTCACCTCCCGTGGACATGTGTACGATACCGCGCAAGCAACGTGGTTTGGCACAGATAATGTCATGGACTTCTGGGAGGATGTCCTTCAAACAGAGGCTGACGAAATCACACGGAAACTGGAACAATGGGCATGTATGGCAGGTCGAAGTATGTTTTTTCTGTTTTTTTTTTTTTCTTTTGTTTGTAGATATTCTAATTCACTTAGACCTCGACGAACGTGAGACGGTACAGAATCACATATTACAGTGACCTATTTCCGTATAATACGAGGGAACGGACGTGCATAATATCCCGTATGATACGGGCCAGCGGACCATGGGCCCATGATCAAAATATCCTCGACTATGACGGATGGGCCGGGAGGCAAATTATTCCCGATGGAGGCGGGTGGGCCCATGCAGGGGATATATAGAGTAGATGAGTGGGCTGATGTACATGAATATTAGGTAGACGGGTGGGCCGAGGTAGTTGGATATTATGCAGATGGGTATATTAAGGTAGATGTGTATGAGATAGATGGGTAGGTACTTGTTATCACATTCACGGGTGGGCCCAGACACATATTAAATTAGATGGGTGGGCCGAGGGTATTATACAATATTGTATTATACGGGTGGGCCCAGACGCATATTAATTAGACCGGTGGGCCGAGGGTGTTGTATGGGATGTTGTATTAGACGGGTGGGCCGAGGGTGGTATAAAATATAGATGGGTGGGCCCATGTGTATCATAATTGTAAACACGATGGAGCTGAGGTAGTTGTACATCAACCAAATCAGAGGAGGTAATAAAATCAAAGTTACCAAGTTCCTGGAGCAGCAGGTGATCTCCTGACATGGCCTTTGATGGTGCACAGGTTGTCTTGCAAAATTTGGAATCCGGGGTGCGAAGCTTGTGTTACCCTATGAGAAGCCAAGTTCCGATTACCAACCTTTGGGTCAACCGTACTCAGAGGAGGTAATAAATCAAAGTTCCTGAGTTCCCGGAGCAGCAGGTGATCTCCTGACATGGCCTTTGATGGTGCACAGGTTGTCTTGCAGAATTTGGAATCCAGGGTGTGAAGCTTGTGTTGCCCTATGAGATGCCAAGTTCTGACCACCCAAATTTGGGTCAACCATACCGACTTCCAAGTTCCGGGACCCGGGAGTCGACAAATGAATATCTGATAACCAGCACACTTCCAATCAGGTAGTATTTCATTGAGCAATGAATCATCCAAGGGGTCTCTTATCAGACTCGGTAGTCAATATAGGCAAATGATAATGAAAACATGAAAGTTGTTATTATGCTATTTTTCAAACCCGAGACCCTGAAACCCATTGTTCAACATGTCCATTTTTCACTCACTGCACAAATCACCAAGTTTCAAGTGCCAAAGCATGAAACTTGAAACCCAGTGTGCAACATGTCCATTTTTCATGTACATTACACAATTCATTGAGTTCCGAGTGCCAAGTGCCGAAACCCGAACCCCGAGACCCGAAAATATGTATGCAACATTTCCATTTTTCACTTGTTGCACAAATCACTGAGTTTCAAGTGCCGAAACCCAAAACTCGAAACCCGGCATGCAACATGTCCATTGTTCAATTATATTACACAAGTCATTGAGTTCCGAGCTCCGAGGGCCAAAACCCGAACCCCGAGACCCGAAAATATGTACACAACACGTCCATTTTTCACTCATTGCACAAATCACCGAGTTTTGAGTGCTGAAACCCAAAACTTGAAACCCGGCATGCAACATGTTGATTTTTCATTTACATCACACAAATCATTGAGTTCCGAGGTCCGAGGTCCGAGACCCGAACCCCGAAAATATGTGCACAACATGTCCATTTTTTACTTGTTGCACAAATCACCGAGTTTCAAGTGCCGAAACCCAAAACTCGAAACCCGGCATGCAACATGTTGATTTTTCATTTATATTACACAGATCATCGAGTTCCGAGCTCCGAGGGCCGAAACCTGAACCCCGAGACCCGAAAATATGTACACAACATGTCCATTTTTCACTCATTGCACAAATCACCGAGTTTTGAGTGCTGAAACCCAAAACTTGAAACCCGGCGTGCAACATGTTGATTTTTCATTTACATCACACAAATCATTGAGTTCCGAGATCCGAGGTCCGAGACCCGAACCCCGAACCCCGAAAATATGTGCACAACATGTCCATTTTTTACTTGTTGCACAAATCACTGAGTTTCAAGTGCCGAAACCCAAAACTCGAAACCCGGCATGCAACATGTCCATTTTTCATTTATATTACACAAATCATCAAGTTCCGAGTGCCGAGGGCCGAAACCCGAACCCCGAGACCCGAAAATATGTATGCAACATTTCAATTTTTCACTTGTTGCACAAATCACTGAGTTTCAAGTGCGGAAACCCGAAACTCAAAACCGGGTGTGCAACATGTCCATTGTTCAATTATATTACACAAGTCATTGAGTTCCGAGCTCCGAGGGCCGAAACCCGAACCCCGAGACCCGAAAATATGTACACAACATGTCCATTTTTCACTCATTGCACAAATCACTGAGTTTTAAAGTGCTGAAACCCGAAACTCGAAACCCGGCATGCAACATGTTGATTTTTCATTTACGTCACACAAATCATTGAGTTCCGAGGTCCGAGGTCCGAGACCCGAACCCCGAACCCCGAAAATATGTGCACAACATGTCCATTTTTTACTTGTTGCACAAATCACTGAGTTTCAAGTGCCGAAACCCAAAACTCGAAACCCGGCATGCAACATGTTGATTTTTCATTTACGTCACACAAATCATTGAGTTCCGAGGTCCGAGGTCCGAGACCCGAACCCCGAACCCCGAAAATATGTGCACAACATGTCCATTTTTTACTTGTTGCACAAATCACCGAGTTTCAAGTGCCGAAACCCAAAACTTGAAACCCGGCATGCAACATGTTGATTTTTCATTTATATTACACAGATCATCGAGTTCCGAGCTCCGAGGGCCGAAACCCGAACCCCGAACCCCGAAAATATGTACACAACATGTCCATTTTTCACTCATTGCACAAATCACCGAGTTTTGAGTGCTGAAACCCGAAACTTGAAACCTGGCATGCAACATGTTGATTTTTCATTTACATTACACAAATCATCGAGTTCCAAGTGCCAAGGGCCGAGACCCGAAGCCCAAGACCCGAAAATATGTATGCAACATTTCCATTTTTCACTTGTTGCACAAATCACCGAGTTTCAAGTGCTGAAACCTGAAACTCAAAACTGGGTGTGCAACATGTCCACTGTTCAATTATATTACACAAGTCATTAAGTTCCGAGTTCCGAGGGCCGAAACCCGAACCCCGAGACCCGAAAATATGTGCACAACATGTCCATTTTTCACTCACTGTACAAATCACTGAGTTTTGAGTGCTGAAACCCGAAACTCAAAACCCGGCATGCAACATGTTGATTTTTCATTTACATTACTCAAATCATCGAGTTCCAAGTGCCGAGGGCCGAGACCCAAAGCCCGAAACCCAACATCATGTACACAACATGTCCATTTTTCACTCATTTCACAAATCACCAAGTGTCGAGTGTCAAAACCTGAAACCCGGTACTTCAAATGGACACAAATTGTATTTGTATGTATTATCCATTGGTGTAGGGCTCAAATAACCTGGGAATTGTATTTGTCAGTACTCGGTACTTGGGACTTGGTACTTGGTACTTGGTACTTGGTACTTGGTACTTGGCACTCAGTGATCGGTGGTCAGTGGTTGGTACTTGGGACTCGGTACTCGGTACTCGGTTCTCGGGACTCGGTACTCGGGACTTGGGACTCAAGACTCGGGACTCGAGACTTGAGACTTGGGACTCGGGACTCAGGATTCGGGACTTGGGACTCGGGATTCAGGACTCGAGACTCGGGACTCGGGACTCGGGATTCGGGACTCGAGACTCGGGACTTGGGACTCGGGACTCGAGACTCGGGACTCGGGACTCGGGACTTGGGACTTGGGACTTGGGACTTGGGACTTGGGACTTGGGACTTGGGACTTGGGACTCGAGACTCGGGACTCAGGACTCGGTACTTGGTACTCGGTGATTGGTGGTCAGTGGTTGGTACTCAAGACTCGGTAGTTTCTCCCTGATACCCACCAAAAAACCCACACCCACAAGGTGGGTGTGGGTATATCATGGGGTATGGGTGGGGGTAGTGCTACTCATACCCCGGGGTTCACCCACACTATTCCCTATCGGTACTCGGTACTCGGCACTCAGTGATCGGTGGTCAGTGGTTGGTACTCGAGACTCGGTAGTCAATATAGGCAAATGATAATGAAAAATGACAGTTGTAGTCCATGTCAAGGTGAGTGATTTGGTAGTCTTTCCTTGTCATTCAGCAAAACATCAGCAATAATGAAAAAATGAAAGTTGTTATTATGCTTAACTCCTTACCAAAGGTTGTAGTCCAAGTCCAGGTGAGTGTAGTGGTAGTCTTTTCTTGTCAATTGGTTATCTTGTTACTCATTACGCAGTACTTGGTACATGGTAATTGGTACTCAGTATTTGGTTTTGATACTCGGTATCTGGGAATCAGTAGTCAGCTTAATCAAGGTTGTAGTCCGAGTCTAGGTGAGTTTATTTGTAGTCTTTTCTCGTCCATTGGTTACCATGTGACCAAGATATAAGCTAAAGAAATCCAAAACATCAATAATGACAAATGAAATACATGTGTGCAGTAAGTGAGTCTAAAGATAAAGAATGAATATTAATAGCGAGACTTGCACATTATGTCGAGATATCCAACATGACAAGCCTGTGATGTGATCAGAGACCTGGAATAACACCCATATACATCCATTATAATAGCTTAAAAGCTTAGAAATATTCATGAAGGATTGATGTAATGATAGGCAAAATGATGTGTGGAGAGTGACAGTAGACATCTTTTATATAAAGTCACATTTATATATGATTCAGGCCAAAAATATCATTACAAATATGTAGGATAGATTGTAAACTACCCAAGGAACCCATACTGCCTACTGCCCTGAGGGTAGGGGGTGGGTAGAAGGGATATAGTGAAAATATGAGTTGACCCAGCATTAAAGTCCTACCACTGCTCAACTAACCATTTTCGATGCTTTGGGTCTTTGAAGTTTCCCACACTCAATTTCTTACCCATTTCACTTCCTCAGTACTCAATTCTTGGTTGATTTGTCTGTAAATTTATGTCTATGATACTTAAGATATTTGAAATGTACCCCAGGTTTCTGATTATGAAGATTCAATGTTTTGAAGGCATGGGCCCCTTATCAGGCAAAATGGCAAGTATGCACACTAGCTCACAAACTCCAGCCTATTGTGAGCTGATCTTGGTCATAAGAAGCAAGAATATAAGCTATGCTCATTATATATTAAAAGGTTGGATCATGGATGCAAGGGAAAGATACTGAAAATTGTGAAAAAATGTCACAAGTGCAATTGTCTATGCTTTGTTCCTGGAGAAGGATCCTGTGTGTCCTGGGCTGGTTATATGATATATCTACTCCGAATATGCTCAGGAATAGACTCCCTACAGTCCTTGAGGTCCAGCTTTACAGGGAAAAACCCCCAGCGGGTGAACCACCAGAAGAGGGGGAGGTACACTATACAATAAAGGATTACCCTATGGTCCTGAGCTCCTGATACATTGTTTCTATTGTTGAATAGATGATTGAGATATAATTCCAAAGTCTGTTCACCTAGAAATGAACACATAGGAACATATTTTGTATTTTTATGTATATATGCAATATCCATTTAAGCACCAAGTCTCAACTACCGATTACCAAGTCCCGACACTTGATAGTTGATAGTCAGTATTTGAGCTCTGAGTGCCAATATTGCCTACCAATATCTCAGTCAAATGATAACCAAACCAAGACCCAAGTTCCAAACCTGACTACCGAATACCAAATATCAGTACTCGGGACTCGGGACTATTGGCTGGAGTACCCAACTATTGATTCCCAGGTACCGAGAATTAGAACCAAGTACCAAGTACCTGACTACTGATTCTCGGGTACCAAGTATCAGAACCAAGTACCAAGTACCCGACTACTGATTTGAAGTACCGGGTTTCGGGTTTCAGCACTCGACACTTGGTGATTTGTGCAATGAGTAGATGGGCATGTGGCATACATGTTTTTGGGCTTCAGGTTTTAGGATTCTGCCCTTGGCACTCAATGATCTGTGTAATGTAAATGAATAATGAACATGTTGCACACTGGGTTTCGAGTTTCGGGTTTCAGCACTTGAAACTCGGTGATTTGTGCAACAAGTGAAAAATGGAAATGTTGCATACATATTTTCAGGTCTCGGGGTTCGGGTTTCGGCCCTCGGCACTCGGAACTCAATGAATTGTGTAATGTACATGAAAAATGGACATGTTGCACACTGGGTTTCAAGTTTCACGCTTTGGCACTCGAAACTCGGTGATTTGTGCAGTGAGTGAAAAATGGACATGTTGTGTACATATTTTCAGGTCTCAGGCTTTGGGTCTCAGCCCTCGGCACTCGGAACTCGATGATTTGTGTGATATAAATGAAAAATCAACATGTTGCACACTGGGTTTCAAGTTTCACGCTTTGGCAGAACTCGAAGTTGTTGATTTAGATATCACCCAAAACCTGAACACCCGAATGTCAAATTTTCAGTGCCGAACCCCCAACCCTGACTGCCGGGTGCTGAGTCCCGAAGTCCGGAACTCAGGATTTGACATTTGAGATGAACGAAATTTTTCAGACATGTTTGAATTAATCTACGTATATCTATAAACATTTCACTAACCCCTGAACCCTGAAAGATATTTTTGTTGTCTTACATACCAAATTCTGAGTTCTGAGTTCCGGGACCCCGGACCCCCGAAACCCGGCAGTCCACAATTTCGGAGTTCGGGGGTTGGTAAAATGTGTATGGATATATGAAGGGTTGGTTTAAACATTTTAAAAGATGTCTCATATCAAATGTCAAGTCCCAAGTTTCGATTTCCGGGTTTCAAGAGTGCTGAGTCCCGAAGCCCGGAGTCCCGAAACCCGGAGTCCTGAAACCCGGAAATCAAAACTCGGGACTTGACATTTGATATGAGACATCTTTCAGAAATGTTTCAATCAACCTTTCATATATCCATGCACATTTTACCAACCCCTGAACCCCGAAATTGTGGACTGCCAGGTCTCGGGGTTCGGGGGTCCTGGAACTCGGAACTCGGGAAATTTGGGGAGATCAATAAAATTTGATTTACCCATGTTGAAAATATATTTTTGTTCTACATACCGAGTTCCGAGTTCCGGACCCCCGAACACCGAGACCCGGCAGTCTCGGGGTTCGGGGGTCCCGGCACTCGGAACTTGGGGAGATTTGGGGAGATCAATAAAATTTGATTTACAATTGAGTTGATTGGCAAACACATTGACTTACCCATGTTTGAAATATATTTTTGTTTACACATACTGAGTTCCGAGTTCCGGGTTCCGGACCTCCGAACCCTGAAACCCGAGACCCGGCAGTCCACAATTCTGGGGTTCGGGGGTTGGTAAAATGTGTATGAATATATGAAAGGTTGAATGAAACATTTTTGAAAGATGTCTCATATCAAATGTCAAATCCTGAGTTTCAACTTCTGGATTTTGGGAGTGCCGAGTCCCGAAACCTGGAGTCTTGAAACCCGAAATTCGAAACTCGGGACTTAACATTTGATATGAGACATCTTTCAAAAATGTTTCATTCAACCTTTCATATATTCATACACATTTTGCCAACCCCTGAACCCCAGAATTGTGGACTGCTGGGTCTCGGGTTTTGGGGTTGGGGGGTCCAGAACTCAGAACTCAGTATGTGTAAACAAAAATATATTTCAAACATGGGTAAGTCAATGTGTTTGTCAATCAACTCAATTATGAATCAAATTGTATTGATCTCCCCAAATTTCCCCCGAGTTCCGAGTTCCGGACACCCGATACCCGAGACTCAAATTGTATTGATCTCCCCAAATTTTCCCAAGTTCCAAGTTCCGGACACCCGACACCCGACACCCGGCAGTCTCGGGTATCAGGTGTCCGGAACTCGGAACTCGGGGGAAATTTGGGGAGATCAATACAATTTAATTTACAATCGAGTTAATTGACAACACATTGACTTAATCATGTTTGCAATATATTTTTGTTTAGACATACCGAGTTCCGAGTTCCGGACACCCGATACCCGAGACTGCCGGGTTTCGGGTGTCGGGTGTCCGGAACTCGGAACTTGGGAAAGTTTGGGGAGATCAATACAATTTGATTCACAATCAAGTTGATTGACAAACACATTGACTTAACTATGTTTGCAATATATTTTTGTTTAGACATACCGAGTTCCGGACACCCGATACCTGAGACCCGGCAGTCTCAGGTTTCGGGGTCCGGGGGTCCGGAACTCAGAACTCGGTATGTCTAAACAAAAATATATTGCAAACATAGTTAAGTCAATGTGTTTGTCAATCAACTTGATTGTGAATCAAATTGTATTGATCTCCCCAAACTTTCCCAAGTTCCGAGTTCCGGACACCCGACACCCGAAACCCGGCAGTCTCGGGTCTCGGGTATTGGGTGTCCGGAACTCGGAACTCGGTATGTCTAAACAAAAATATATTGCAAACATGGGTAAGTCAATGTGTTGTCAATCAACTCGATTGTAAATTAAATTGTATTGATCTCCCCAAATTCTCCCAAGTTCCGAGTTCCGGACACCCGATACCTGAGACCCGGCAGTCTCAGGTTTCGGGTTTCAGGGGTTGGTACATCTCGGTTTGGGGTTTGGCACTGAAAATTTGACATATATATTTTTGTGAGTGTTGTGCTTCTGGTGTCCATGCTTAGAAATAGGATTTGTTGCACACCAGGGTTCAGGTGTGGGGTTTTTCCACTTCAGTCCTGGATTATTGGTCAATGCCACACATGATCGATTCATGTTTTTGTGCTTAGGGGTTTAGATTTGGTGGTTGATGGTAGGTATATGCACTCATAGTGTACATGTATCCTATGTGTTTGATTCGCTGGTGGCTACATCAGCTGTATGTCTTGATGGAACATATCTAGGCTCACCCATATATGTAATACACCCCCGACGGCCCGCCCATCTATGTATTATCCCCCACGTCAGCCAACCCATCTATGTAATACATCCTATGTTGGCCCACCCGTCTATATAATACATCCTGCATCGGCCCACCCGTCTATATAATTATACCCCACCTCGGCCCACCTATCTATGTAATAAATATTTTATAGCACCCTCGGCCCACCGGTCTATTTGATATCCCTTTCGTCGGCCCACCCGTATATGTAATACATTCCATGTCGGCCCACCTGTATATGTAATACACCCTACGTCAGCCCACCCGTCTATGTAATATTTCCCTACCTCGGCCCACCCATATATGTAATACACCCACGTCGGCCCGCCCGTCTATATAACAATATTTGCCTTACATCTCTCTTCAGCCCAGCTGTCTATAATATCCTACTCTACATATTACCCAGATGGGCCCACCCATCTCCATGAATGATCATATTCCCCCGGCCCATCCGTCAACATTAAGGATATATATATCATTGGCATACATGGGCCCACCCGTCTCCATCGGAAATAATATGTGTCCCGGCCCATCCGTCATCATCGAGAATATACACAACATGGGCCCATGATCAGCTGGCCCGTCTCATACGGGATATTATGGAGGTCGGGTGGCCCGTATAATACGGAATTTGTCACTGAAGGGGCTCACAGAATATGCAACGTGTTTGTACCCGACTCCTCAATTCTGGGCTAAGTACTTTGTTTTGCTCCGTCACACCAGCACAATCACTAACTACTGCAATTTTAGGGACTATTGCTAAGCGGCACGACATTTGCATCAACTACACCAACTTCAATATTGCCATGAAGGACAAACTCGCGATCGATCTCAAGGGCTGGCCTGAGGGTGTGCTGTTCCAGTCCCCCACCAGTATAAATGACCTCAAGGCCCTATTGAAGGTCCGTGACGCGCTGAAGGATGGATCATGCCACTGGTTTCGTATGTCCCCACGTCAACGGGAGGAGTATGCTGCCGAACTCGCAGCACGCCGAAAGAAAGGAGAAGTTATTGGCAAGCCGCGCAAGAAGCGCGCTGATGCTGGTGTGCCATGCAAGCGCAAGGGAAAGGAGAACGCACCTCTGAGAAAGCGAGTACGAGCTGCAGGCTCATCCACGCAGGCTCTGAAGAGCGTAGAATACATAGACACAACTGACGAGGACACTAGTGAGGAGGACATTTAGTTGTTTAATTCACGTTAATGTAGCACGCATAAGGCCCTCATGTGACCCAATACTAGTTCATATGTTCATTCTCTACCTGTTAAAAAAAGCCCGGCTCCAATTGATGAATGTGGTGGCGAGATACTCGAGCTCGCTGTCTCGCACAGCGAGCTCGGCAGTGACGTGGCCCTTTGACTGCTGGCAATATTTCTATTAATGGACGGATACATTAAAATAACTCCCAGGCACACCGGGAGCAGGTTGCTGAAGTTGCCGAGGCTCTATACTACCCCCCTACGCTAGCAGTAAGTATTTGCTACACTCAAAGGCTTTGAATTATCGAATAATTATTCATTTGGGTGGCTACAGCTAAATGCTAGTCGAATAAGACCTGCCATCATGCCCAGCTGTCATGTCTAATTAGCCTAGATATGTGGGAACATCAGGTGATACAGCAAGACAAGAGTATATATATTCTATCTAAGTAGTACTAAGTGCTGTCAGTGCTAAAGCGAACTGGGAAGTGAAGTGAGTGCATGATAAGATGTAATATAAGGGTCCATGACAAAACATATGGAATATGTGCATAAGCACCAGAGATATGTCAGAATAAACAGAAATATGATAGGAATATGCACCAACAAACTAAATGGACATGGGATGGATGCTACACTGATCCAAGTTGTTGCCCACCATTCGCGCTTCGTGGGTGTGTTGATCCTCCTTTGACCAAGAGCCATGCTGATCCAAGTCGTTTCCTGCCATTCACACTTCATGAGTGTATCCTCCTTCAACCAAGAGCCATGCTGATCCAAGTCATTTCCTGCTGTTCGCACTTCATGAGTGTGTTGATCCTCCTTTGAGCAAGATCCACGCTGATCCAAGTTGGTTCCCAACATTCGCACTTTGTGAGTCTGTCAATCTCATTATTGTGTTGCTACTACTGACATACACTGTCCAGCTTCATCACATATTCACATGGGAATGAAGGAATCTCGCTGTACCCGAAACAGGTCCAGTCCAGTATGATAGTGTGGGGCCTATATGATAGGAATATGCACCAACAAACTAAATGGACATGGGATGGATGGATGGAGGACACACGATGGAACCGAGGATGCATGCACTGATGCATGTCCAAAGTGCTTGTGTGTGTAAGCAGCCAATGAAGTGCCAAGTGCACTGAGATGAGATATGAGTCTCAATATATTAGGAAGGTGATTGGGACATTGGGGAATTAGATCTCTACAAGGCCACAGAGATATCAATCTCTACAGCATGTTTTGTTTTTATACATATATATCCTTGTTTATTGTCTGGTGGGGCATGGCCTTATGTTGGACAAAACCTACAGTATGTACTAGTGTATGTATGTTTCTTTTACATATGTAATGACTTCTTCAATGATTCAGGTGATGATGCTAGAACTGGGATGCCATCTGAAGGCAAGAGGTATATGATGACAAGGTATATTTGGAGCAAGGTCTCTGAGAAGTGCGGCTTTCATTCTTTCAGTTCAGGGGGGGTGACATCTCAGAAAATGGTTTTGAATCTCCTGGTGCACACTATGTATCTAAGGAGTGGTCTGATGCATGGTTTGTTGCTGAGGAGGTTTTTGAGTTACCCTGCTTGTGAGCCTGTGTCTTTTCTGAGCGCCCTTCTCTGGCATTGGTACATTTGACACATCATCAAGTAGTGATGGACCATTTCTTCTCTTTTGTTGCACTGGGAACAGCGTGCTGATGGAGCTTTTGCTATATGGTTCAGGTATTTGTTTAGTGGGATGTGTCTGGAGTGGAGCTGGAAGAGTATTGAGCTGTGTCGATGCAGAAATTCCTCAACAATCTTGGCAAAGCATTTTGATGGGGCTGTGAAAATGGAGCATAGAAACTTGTACCAAGGTGAGCTCTGTATGACCTTCTTTGCTTCCTCTTTAATGGCTCCATAAAATTGTTGTTTGGTTGCAGATTTAGCGGGAGTATGATGGGTAGGTGTGTTCCTGTTCGGAGGGATTTGGGTAGCTGCCTAATGTCTGATGCCTCTCCTTTTGCCGCTCTTTTCATCTGCTCATCTGCTACCTCATTCCCTGCTATTCCCTTGTGCCCTAGTGTCCACCTGATTGTTAGTGTTCTGTTGTCATTGGCGGGGATGATGTCCCTGAAGTCATCATGGAATATGTCAGCAAGGTAATGACCTGGTTGGGAGTGTAAGGCACATGTCATTCTGATCACCACTTGGTTGTCTACCCTCAGCAATATTGTGTATGTTCTCTTCCTTCCTCCTGCCTCCTTTAATAATTCGACCGCTAAGATTATTGCTACTATCTCTGCCTTATAGACTGTGTGTTCCTCTATCTTTCCCAAGTAGAATATCTTCTCACTGACCATCCTTCCTCCTCTCATCAGCACCACTGCTGCTCCTACACCTCCATTTACTGCTGACCCATCGGAGTAGATCTTAATTGCCTCATTGGCCACTCTGTCCTTCTCTATAGCTTCTTTCTCCTTCTCTGTGATGCTGATGGTTACATCTGGCCTCCACTTTAGAAAATGATGGACAGGTAAGATTTTCTCCATCATTGCTGGATTAATTCTGAATTCGTTCACCAGCTTGTGCAGGGAGGAGGGGTGATGCTTGTGTCCTTTGAAGTCCCTTTTCTCACAGTACTTGAATACTGTTTTGACCCCACTGGTCAGTGTATGTGATGGCAGGAGTGTGGCCATTCTCAGTGCAGCTCTGTAGCATATCTTGTGGATGATTTGCTGAATAGGTAGGATGTTAGCATGCATGTCTAGGATGTCTGTAGCTGATGATCTTAGTCCTCCTGTAATTAGCAGTGTTGCCATGCACTGTACTCTCGCCATTTGAGATATGACGCCTTGTGTGCCTCTGCCTTCTCCTTTGTTGCTTTTGCTCTTGGCTATTAAACCTGTGCACCAAACATCAGCTGCATATGTCGTTTTGGGGACTACCACCCCTTCATAGAGTCTTTTCATTAGCTACCCATGTATCCCTTTGGTGGGACTGATCATCCTTCTGCATGCCATCATGTAGGCTGTGCCCTTGGCTAGGGCCATTGCTGCATGCTCTTTGAATTTCAGCTTGTCATCAATTATGATGCCTAGGAACTTATGCGAACACAATGGATTGATAGTGTGGTTTCTTATAGTAATTGGGAGGCACAGTACCAGCTCTGTTTTGCATGGGTTGTCTGCACATGGAAGTCTTGCCTTCGATAAACAGAGTAGGGCAGTCTTGTCTAATTCAAATTCCATGTTGTATTCCTCATTCCACCCGAGAGCATCTCCTCTCTTTTCCATCATGTTTTTGAGCTTGGCATTGGACTCTTTGTACAACTTTCCTCTGTCTGCTAATGTGATGTCATTGATAAAACCTAGGCTAAGTTCTCCTCTATGCAGGTTCGGGTCAGCTACTCTTAAAATGCCTGAGTTGTAAAAGATAAAGCTTAGCGGTGACATAGGGCATCCTTGGTCTACTCCATCTGCTATGTTGAAGACTTCCGATTGGAAGTCATCAAAAACTAATACTGTCTTGTGGTTCTCTAGTCTGCTTTCATACCAGTCTATATCTTCTTTGGGGATGCCTGCATTGTGGAGAGTGTGTAACAGCTTGTTTACGACAACACTTGGGAATGTGGCCTTGACATCTAAAAATAGGAGTGAGACATGGCTATCTATGGAGGCCCACACATCTGTGATGAACTTCATTAGGAGATGCAGTGAGTCGGTGGTTGATCTGCCAGGTCGACCTCTGAAGTGCATTGGGGGGAGGAGGCCGTTTCTTTCTGCTATATACATGATGTCGTCTGCTATGCATGATGATAGCATTTTGGCCATTGTGTCGAGGAGTGTGATGGGGCGATATGCCTTCGGCATGCTGTAGTTGGGACAGCCTGGCTTGTAGAGGACTATCATTGATGAGCATTTCCATTCCTCTGGGTAGATGCCAAGGGAGAAGGTGACCCAAAAAATTGGGGCCATGTAGGGAACTAACAGGTCAGCACATTTCATGTACACTATATTACTGACCTCATTGAGTCCTGGGGCTTTGAATGGGGATAGGCAGTTGATGGCTGTGAATTTGCTGGTCAGTTATCGGCTCAAACTTGTATATAGGGGGAGGGTAGATAAACTCAGGGACTATGAAATTGTTTTCTGGGGGAGGGTAGAAGAATACTTGATATAATAGTTTGCTTTTATGTTTGTTGTCTTGTGTGGTGGCATTTGGCGCTGCTTGAGGGTCTTGGGGTGTCTTGATTCTAGTGTGGATCTAATCTGACAGGTTGTTAGCTGCATACTTGTGAAAATTCCATGTTTTTGAGAGTGTTAGTGATTCTAGCCATTCCTTCCGGTGGTGTTCCTTTACTTTTTTGATGCTTTTCTCAGAAATCGAGGTGAACAGATCGGGCGGGAGCTAGTAAATAGCAACAATAATCTCAGTCTGTATTCTGGGACTCTGAGTCCATGTACAGTACCTAGTAAATAGCAACAATACTACTCATAAAATCAGCGCATGAATAAAGGAACATTTAAGTGTAAGAACTCACATCTCAGTCTGTATTCTGGGACTGAGATGTTCATTCGATATCTACAAGGTTAATAAGGGAAAAATGACATGATATGTATATTAGCATTGCAAGGAGAATGATAAAGTGAAACATTGATATCTGGATGTCAAGTGACACTCAATGTCTCTTTTCTCATGCCTCTGTCAAAATGGTCGCACTCATATCACGCGTGATCTGACATCTCCGAATCCTCCAACTTCAACACTCCCCCTCGAGCAGGACTGAGTGCCATCAGGGTCCTGAGCTTCTGGAAGCATGGTTGAGGCAATGGTTTGGTGAACGTGTCGGCTACATTGTCATCTGTGGGACAATAGCA